CCAGTAGATGCTGTGTACATTTATTTTGCCAAGGCATTTGACAGTGTCCCACATGAGCGGCTGTTGCGTAAATTGAAGTCTTTGGGAATTGAGAGTAATGTACTTCAAGGAATCAGAGATTTTCTAGTAGGGGGGCGTCAACGTGTCAGTGTTGATGGGTCCGTATCAGACTGGGCTTCAGGGCGCAGCGGCGTGCCACAAGGAAGCGTTCTCGGGCCTATTCTATTCGTTGCGTTTATAAACGATCTGCCAGAAGCTGTGTCTAGCGTTTGCTCGATGTACGCTGACGACACAAAAATTTATAATAAAGTGAAGAATACGTCGCAAAAAGTACAGTTGCAATGTGATCTTGACAGGCTGGTTGACTGGGCTAATAAGTGGCAGCTGCGTTTTAACGCAGAAAAATGTAAAGTTATCCCCCTTGGCAATAATAATGAACAGCAAGATTACAGTATGAGAAGACACGGTTGCAACGACAGAGTGATGATGTCGAAGTTGACAATGGAAAAAGATTTAGGAGTTAATATCGACATGAGTTGAAGTTTTCTAAGCATATTGAAGGTCAAGCTAATAAAGCCATTAAACGACTTGGACTGATCAGACGCTCTTTCGAGTTCCTAGATGCAGAAGCGATGAAGCAGTTGTTTTTTTGCTGTCGTGCGCCCGAACCTAGAGTTTGGAAGCGTCGTGTGGTAACCGCAATTTGAAAAGGACAAATATTTAATAGAGAGTGTTCAAAGACGCGCAACTAGGATAGTTCCGGGCTTGAAATGCAGTCCTATGAGGAAAGATAAAAGATTATGAAGCTTCCAAGCCTCAGTTATCGACGTCTGCGTGGGGACCTCATTGAAGCATACAAGTATACTCACGGGTCATGGCTTATACAAAGTCCCAGAAGGATTACTAGAATTTGAAACAAGAACCAACACCAGGGGCCACGGCTATAAACAAAAAAAACTGCGTTGGAACATATCCATGCGACAACATTTCTTCTCGCTTCCAGTCACCGACATGTGGAACAGCCTCCCTGATAGCATCGTTGACGCTCCGAGTATGAACGCATTCAAAAACAGACTAGACGAAGCTATGCAGGATTGCAGGAGCGTATGTTCAGTCTTAAAATGCCTAGCAAATTACAGACCAGGCAATGAGTCCAGCAGTTATCTCAATCAACCGTCAGTCATGGAAAGATTGGGTTCCAAAGGCCGGATCCCTTGTGGATCAAGTCACGAAAAGTTCAAGAATCGGCAACAGGCCATGGGCCTATTTCTTCAATGCCGACACTTCTATTTTAATAAACGCCGAAACCGCTATATTATTATTATTTTATGAACAACAAACTTCCAGCCCAACTGGCATTACATGACTGACTTTTTGGACGATTTGATTATAACTGATTTAAGGAAAGGCATAAAAACGCGTCATGTTTTAATATAAATATTTCGTGACAAACCCCCAGCCCTTATGAACTACAACGTTCTTGCCACAGCGCAATGAGCATTTGAAATTTTGTATTCAATTTCATAATAATAGTAGGTTACATAGTAAATGAATAGTCTGAGCCCACGCTAACGCCCTCGCAATTTTGTCAAATTAGTAATGCTAGCCCTGAAACAGTAGTCGCCGCTCAAAATAACTGGACCTCCTCAATGATTGATCGCTTTAGTTAGTAACGTCGGGAATTTCTTCAGGCCATTCATATTGATTGCATATCAATATCATTATTATTTTTTTTAATACATGGCTAGTAAACAGGGTTTTTCTAACTCGGCGAACGAAATATTTTCCATATTTTGGGTCGGGCCCAATTTCGTTGAAAACTATTCATTGCACTCTAGACGGTATCATTCTAAATTAGATTAAGGACATTTATGGTTTAAAATGATATAAAATTACGTAATTACACATTAAATTTTAAGTTGGATAACTCAATCAGTAGCGAAATTTTTATCAAATGCACAGGAACAATAAGTTGTTAAGTTTTATGATTTTGAGGTAGAAATTTTCGTTGGTCATTTTAATTGTGTTTGTTTATTTTATTGAAAATTTTAAATGGGAGAATTTGTGTCATTAGTATGAATCATAAATTAATCATAATACTGAAATCCAGTAACATTTAGCTAAATTGTAATTTTATTGTATAAAGAAATATCATATACATCATGTATTTTGTTTTTATCATAATTAACTGACTTGAATTAAATAATTAAACTAAGAAAACACACACTTCGACTCCGATTTGTCAAAAACAATGCTAAATTATATCGAGACAACTGCGTTTCTGCACGAACTTCTCACGAAAATAGGTTAAATATTAATCTTACGGGTAAATTTACATGTGTTGAAATGCGTTATGTTTTATTTTTTGTTTACGAATTTCTAATTTATAGGTGTATTTAGGAGTCAAAGTTTTACAGCTGCCTCCAAAAAATTGCTCCTTTTTCTTCATTGAGAATTTATATTGTTGAGGAAATACTTTTATATAATTTATATTGTTGAGGAATACCAAGAAGTTTCAGGAATCCGTACTCCGCCACAAACGTTTTTGCTTTCGATGTCGTGAAATTAGTTAATAAAAGCAGTGTGAAATTTGAGGCTAATTCAAGAGAGTTTATGAGTAATACATCACTTATATTAGTTATATATAATAATGAATAATTAATATGAAAATAAAATAGATTAAACATGAACCTTGACCATTTCTTTGTACTTTGTAGACTTGGCTGAGTTGGCTCCCTCAGTCCCTCAACTTCATTAGCAATTTGTCTCCAAGTTAAACACAACAAATCAACATTTACAAATTGATAATAAATCACACCACCAATAAGAGTTGAACATTATGCACACTGCAATCTGCAAAAGCTATTTAATGGAGCAAAATCTTGTACATTTTTACACAATAAAAGCAAATGATGAGCAAGTGAATTTTTTCCAGAATCCAGATTATGGTTGGTTGCAATGGTTGGCAATATTGATACCCATAGTCTGGCATTGACAACTGACAAGCCTAATACCTATTTGGTATGTAGGCTAAGTGCCTAAGTACTATAGTATTATGGTAGAAACCGGCCACGCTCATGATTATGTATGTTTTCAGGAAATTTTTCTGTGCCTAATGACTTATTTTAAGCCATTGTTCCACTCAGTTGGCACAAAACAATACCTAACTCTTTTCTTTTTGCGCAGGTGTTGGCGCTACTTCCGGCCATTGCCGCGCAAGAGTCTGCACAGAGCCACAGATACAGTTTGTCCGGACAAGAGACAGAAAACTTATAATATAATACTCAATATGCATTTAATTATCCATCATTAGCAGGCATGGAAATGGAATAGGATATCTACTTGGCAAGCCACAAGTGAATTATTAGAGCTGTGGTTTTATGGATTTGCCAGCCATAATTCCATTCCTTTGAGCCATGATTTAATTTCTTTGAGCTATGATTCCCTACCTTGGCCATTAAAAGCCATTTACAAGCCGGCAGCCGCAAACGTTTTACTAAGTCTCATGCATGTGTTACCCCTAATCTCTAATTTTACCCAAAAAACAGTCAATACTAACATTTGTCTTCACTTAAGTGGCAACTGGTCACGTGAAAATGCATTCTGACTGCTCTAATGTGACTGCAACTACGTGATCTTTAAGGAAATGTTTTAGATTGACTTGTTATTATGCTGTGCAGGATATTTTGGCAGGATTGTCGAAGTATTGCGGAATGCAGAGGTTGAAAATTTTATGAAACGACATGTTTGCGGAGTGCAAACCACAATTTTTTCAATCTAACAAAAATACATGGCCTTAGAGCCGCAAGATTTCATACCTACTAACATTATATGATGTTAGAGCCACAATATTTTGGAAAAAAATAGTACTTCTCCAGCCCTGATCATTAGTATATGATTTTTCTTCATACGGACAGGGTGTGTACCGGTCATGGAACACCTTGAAAGTCATAGAATTTGATTTGTTGTTTTCCAAGCCTGGAAAGTCATTGGATTTCATTCCAGGTCATTGGAAGTCTTAGAACAAAAGACATTTCGATTTCCCTCAATAAGGTTGATGTTGTTACATGGCCAGGACTGCGGTAAAAAAACTGCTTGCAGACAAGAAGACAAGTGCGCTGCAAGTTCTCACTTTCAAGACATGAGCGTGGGACTTCATGAAGACTTTATTCCAATAGCTACTGAACAAGATACCTATCAGGTATGACCTTGGTAGGAACCTGAGGTGACTGGTGCCTAAAGTCTTCATCAAGGACTGTAAGGAAGCCAACAAGACACAATTGAAGAACTGTCTTGCTATGCTTGTTGACGCCAAGAGATTCCCTAACACAGATATGGATGGTGTTTTGCGATGAGATGTGCAACTTTAGAGATGAATCACAACATTGCTGTAAACTGAACGCACAGTTTCAAGCATTTTCAATTTCTGATTGACTGGACACTTTTTGGTATGCCATTCTGTCAAAGAGCACCTACAAGAAGCTCTGGAAAGTAGTGCAGTTGCTCATGCTCCTGTCTCATGGCCAAGCCATGGTTGAAAGGGGGTTTTTATTCAACAAAGAAATTGCACCATTTTAAATGGGTTGCACCATTTAAAATAACTCAAAACCATCCCTTATTACCCCGTTTGACAGTATGACAAGTAACTCAACCAAATAGCATTAACTTGATGAGTAAAATAAAAAATATAACGTAGTACTCACTGCAGTGAGTGACAGAGAGCGCATTTTCTTGTAGATGAAAACTTGTGGTCACGAACGGACAGACGGATGGACGGACGGACATGGTGAGTGCAATAGTGCATTTTTTCCATAAATGAGAAAATGCGCTAAAAATAGACCCTGTCTTACATGTCTGTGCCTCTGTATGGTATCTCATCATTCTCATGTGATAGATATTTTTCCTTCAATTCTAAGCGCATGTTTGTGCCCAAGAACTTCTTTTTTGATTATGATTCTCAATCAAGCTACTTTTGGCACTAACTTTGTCTTTTATTTCCAGAAAAGAAACATTATATGCTTGTAGATGGTGGTGAACATTATTTGCTTTAACTAAATTGTGAGAGACCCTACCAGCAGACATGGCTGATCAAACAGCCAGGCAGCTCCAATATGAGTATAAAGCAGTGAGTATCCCTATCAATTCCTTGAGAGGAAAATATTTAGAAGTTTATTGATGTCAATTTTATCACCAAGTTGTATGTCATTCAGAGCTTTTTTATTTTAAGTAGTCAATCCTTTAATATGCACACAATCATCCTGGACCCGTCTGTAAAACACCATTAGTATTTTTGCCAAAAATTCCTCAATCATGTGGCCAATCACTTGACTCTATGACCAAACAATTTTTAAAATTCCTAGCGATAGGAATGTGTATAATGTTTTGATTATTGGTTTAAATTTTTTTAACAACAGAATATGGATTTTATGCTAATGCTAATATACTATACTAATATTAGCTATCGTGCTAATACTACCAATTCACACTTTTATGTTAATATTCTCCACTAATGCTTGCATATCTATGTCATCCATGTTCAACTTAATCAATCCCTAAATTGGATATGTATGTCATTCAAACTTGGTGTCTCATGTTTTATTTCCTTCTGCAGAACTCAAATTTGGTGCTGCAAGCAGATGTGCGACTTATTGAGCGCAGAAGCAAAGATGAGGCCACTGGAGAAGTTATGTCCCTCTCTGGGAAGCTTATTGGCTCTCGGATGGGTGACAGATATCAGCGTATTAAACCAGAGCAGGTACCTTATTGCTAGATATTTCTTGTATTCAATCTTACTATTGCAATTACAATGAGTGTACAGTCTTGAGATATACTTTGAGTGCCTTCAGTGCATCCATAACAAATGATTAAACTCAAAAAATAATCAGTCATTGAAACCTTTACAGCCAGAAAAAGAGATTAAGAAGCCCAGCAAGAAGCAGAAGACAGAGGAGTTTTCTGGCCTCACACTCAAGACCTCTACTATTTTGGACTTGGATGAGATGGTAAGAAAGGGCTTATCACTGCTAAATTTTGAGTAACTATTAATTTTCAATTCTGTTAAAAAATTCAAAAAGATAGGTGAGAAAAGATGACAATTTTCAATTTCATACTCCATTATAATCTGTTTTATCAAGAGAAATTGCTTTTTTGTATTTTCCTCCTCTGTCGTGTGCTGAAAAACTATTTTGTTTACCATTGTTATCTAAAAATATTGAGGCTCATATCCAGCTTATCCCCATAACATTCCATACTTTCTCACAGGGGGATGTTCTGTATCGGCCCAAATCTGAGACCACAAAACAGACATACGAGGTGATCCTGTCCTTCCTGCAAGAAGCTCTTGGAGACCAGCCCAGAGATGTGCTATGTGGTGCTGCTGATGAGGTATTTTCTTCGAATTACTGACCCTTTGGCACCAAGCCTACCGTTGGCACCAAGTTTTATTGCTACGGTGCTTTTTGCACCATTGCTACTTTCTGCTACTGTTGACTAAGTCACAGAATAGGCTGTATATTCACTAAATATAAGTACACCTATTTTCCAATTTTATATTTTATCAGATATTGTTTCCAGCTTTGTGAAAGCCTGAACCAACTTGTTAATTTTATTTATTTTATATTCATAATGGTTTGCAGGTATTGTCAGTTTTGAAAAATGAACGCCTTAAAGACCGCGAGCGCAAGAAAGACACGGAAGAACTGCTGGGGCCGCTCACTGATGAACGCTTTGCTGTTCTCGTGAACCTGGGCAAGAAGATCACAGACTTTGGCCTGGATGGGGGAGGCAAAGCCTTGGGCACCATTTCAAGTGGAGGTGGTGAGGAGGACATGCTTGATGAAACCCATGGTGTCAACGTCCAATTTCAGGACTCTGATGAAGAGGAGGATGAAGAAGGATTTGATGATGTGAGTCTTGTAGCTGTGTAATGTTGTGCTTATGATGTGGGCTTGTAGTTGTATTTTAATTTGAGCCTATGATGGTGCACTTTTGAATCATGTACAATGGACGTTCATGAACATCAAAACAACAAATATTCATCTGTAATTATTTCAATTTTTTTTTGCTGAATAAGCATTACTCTCAACCTCTCTTGGTTCAAATAAATTTTGAATGTCTATTCATGCCTCTGTTTGCTTAGGTCAAATTTTTTTTTTTTTTTTTTTTGCTTAGGTCAAATCTGTCCAGAACCTCAATCTTTATCCATTTCCAAGGAGATTTTTGTTATTGAATACACAGCAAACTAAATATGGCAAATAATGTGACGTGAATTTCACTCAAAACTTGATTAAGTAATTTCTTTTAAAATGGTAAAGAAGATTATTTTCTCTTCAGATTACGAATAAGTGTTACATTACTGTTTCTTGATAAATATACGTCATGGCAAGTATTGTGATATAAGACGGCATATATTGTGTCCAAATCATAGAGTGGTAAGGAAGATATATTTACAATGTAAATTTTAATGCTTCAGGAGGTAGATGAGAATGATGACGACGACGAAGAAGGTGCTGAAGGTCTTTCTGGAATACATTCTGAAGTGCTGAATGGTACTAGCAGCACCACCGCTGAAGTTGGGGCAGAGAAACTGCTCAGTCCGCATGACATTGGAGCGCATTGGTTGCAGAGAGAACTTAACAAGTTCTACAATGACCCCATCCAGGTAAATTTGTGGGAATAAATAATTTTATTTGAGTTTATTTCATTTTTACATCTAAATATGACTTTAAATTGAACTTGCCTTTTTTTTGCAAATTAGTTCAGTATGAAGGCACGTTTTAGGTTCTAGTTTTGAAGTCATTTGTTTTCTCATTAGTAATGGGTAGAAGATTTTATGTATTTGTTACGCAAATTAATTAAGCTTGAAATCATTGTATGTTGCAAGTTGATAGTTCTATTGAATGCTGCTGACGTGTCGTTCGTAAGTGATTTGTATTAGAAATAGATTTCATAATAAAAAATCTCTGTCTATACAGGCTCAGTCCAAGTCTCAAGACGTGTTGGATATCTTGAAGTCAGCCAAGGATGACAGAGAGTGTGAGAACAAACTAGTGCTCAATCTTGGCTACGACCGCTTCCAGTTCATCAAGATACTCTGCAAAAACCGACACATGATCCTCCATTGCACTCTCCTTGCTCAGGCCAAGTCTCAACAAGGTGCGTTTATTATTCTAGAATCCTCACTCTCGGAGAAATGAGTGGGACTTTGTCGGAATAACGATGCACTTTTTGCAATTTTGTGGGGCTGTGGTCTCATTAGGCCTATTTTAGTGGGTTTCAGACATGGTTGAATTATATTAAGTTGACCTACGAGGATTTCCTTCCGTCTTTCAGTTCAGCTTTCTTGTCAAGTCACTGAGATCGAGAAACGTAAACAATCCCGTTATTCCCATGACAGATTGGTTGACTGGTTTGATTGCATTTCGGTGATTGGTCAATGCCCGTGACGTCATTGAGATCAGTGACGTCACAGACGAACAACAAACTACATCCGCGAAAATGAGCCTCTCATGGGTCAACCTTATACTAGTTCAACCATGGCTTCAGCCCCCTTAAAATATATTTAAACTCCTCTAAGTAATTTCATGTTTTTTTATCAAAATTTTGATTAAAGAAAAAATTCAGCCAAATTCAATACGTATAGTTTGACCTGAATATGAGTTCAAATATACATAAATAATCATACAATCAGTCTTTATCAAATATGATCATAAATCTTAGGGCACTTAGCCCCCCTGTCCCTTAAACCTAGTGACGCCCCTGGTGTGTCATATCATTGCTTATGCCGAAAATCTTGATCAGTTTGGACAATTTGAACCATTCATCTGAGAGCATTTTCTCAAATTTGGTTATCTAATGAGGTTATGAATGTACTTGAACCTTATTATATACGTATGTGTTGTTGAAACATCAATTAATCGAGTGCCTGTGTTCAAAATTTTCCTTGTATTTATCAGAGCGAGATGAGGTACGCAACGTGATGCTGGCTGAGCCTTCGTTGCGGCGCATCCTGGCGCAACTCGATAACGAAGAAGACGCTGCTGAGGCTGCTAAAGAAGCTAAAATGGTTTGTGGCGAGGCTTATGAGTTTGAAAATTACTTGACTTGATTTAGAGTTTAGTTTAATGTTTTTCATTGTGAAACAAGTTATTTCATTTTATTTTGATTGGCAAGAAAACATTATTTTCCAAATACTCATGTTGTCAAAATATTTTAACACTAATAAATATCTACTACGTATAAACTTTATCTTTGTTTTGTAATGATTATAATTATAATTATATCTCTTCATTCTCATGATAAGTTTTCATTATTTCTTTCTTGTATAGAATGGAGACACCAAGACTCGCTCCAGACGTGCCAATGTTGAGCCTATGGACACAGACGCTTCTGATAGGTTTGTGTTTGTTTTTTATAACAAAATTGTATCCCTTTCTTGTACATAAGTCTTGTTCTTGTCCTGATTATTAAATGCTTTACTTGCAGCGTAAAATTGCCCTCGATCCAAGCAGCAAAGTAACAAGAAATATCCTCAAAAATTAAAATTATTCCTAGTATAATACCATTACTCGGTTTCATTTTCTGATATTTATACATTCTAAATTTCCCATGTGGCTACTGTATATAACAATTCAAGGAGAGAATTGCGTGTTTGCAGGTCAGGACAAGTGGGAGGCGAGCGCGAAGTGCTTGACCTGGAGTCTCTGGTGTTCACCGCGGGCTCGCACTTCAACAGCAACAAGAAATGTCATCTGCCTGAAGGGTCCACAAGACAAACCAAAGCCGTGAGTTCTTCGCGCTTTAAACTCTCAAATCAAGTGCACAAATTGCAATACCTTGTGAATTGGTTGTACCCTTTGGGTGGAAGATGCTTGGTTTTTTGCAATTCTTCCATGGAGCTAAACTATTCTCCAGTTTACCTCGCAGAAACTCGCCTCAGAAACTCGCAGAATTCTGGAATTTCCTCCTACATCAAAATCTGTTCAATTTCTTGGTAGAATGATGTGAGATTGCGCATCCTTCTGCAAGGTCCAAATTGAAATTTCTAGCCACAGCATAATATTTTAATTAAATATTTCTATGGCAGGGCTATGACGAAATCCACGTACCAGCCCTGAAGCCAAAACCATTTGGGGCCGACGAGAAGTTAGTACCCATCACATCTCTGCCTAATTATGCCCAGCCAGCCTTTGACGGTTACAAGAACCTTAATCGCATTCAGAGCAAGGTGAGATTGCTGTCATTTATATATGTTATCGAGCTTGTTAAGAACTCTTCCATACAACCATGCTCGAAGACTGAATTTGAGAGTACTGGGGTTTATACTCAGTTATTATTTATTCATACGGCTTCAGTAGTGTCTTGTAATCATGAATGACGTACTTACAGCTGTACGAGTCAGCACTAAACGGCGATGACAATCTGCTGCTGTGCGCGCCCACTGGTGCTGGCAAGACCAACGTAGCTCTCCTCACTATCCTCAGGTAAGCCATGCTGCCTCGGGTAATATTTTCTCATCTTGATGTTTTCATAATCTTTAATGTGAAGAAGTGCCTATTTTTGGGGTGAGCACGAATGTTTTCCGTTACAAAAGCGATAAGTTGCAAACTTATCAATGGAAACCTTGCAGTACTTTGGCCATTTTTCGGCGTTAATGGAGTAGTGAATGTTCTTATTAGGCTATATTTATCAATAGCATGTTATTTTAATCATAACTTGGAAAGGTCTGAGCGTATCTGCGTTAAGAAAATAAATCCAAGTCTCCAAGTCATGCCTATAAATCCTATATCCAAGTTTTTTTTTATTTCCGAACAAAATTTGAAAATAGTATGTTTGGCGACGTTCATAACTGAGTGAACAATGTAGAGATGATTCCTTTAATTAATTTTCTTTTTTCACTATTTTCAGGGAGATCGGTAAAGCGACTAACGCGGATGGCACCATCAATGGCGACACATTCAAGATTATCTACGTTGCTCCTATGCGATCTCTCGTCACTGAGATGACTCAGAACTTTTCGAAGCGTCTTGAACCCTACAAACTGAAGGTTCGTCATCACACCTGTCCCAGATATCCATCGAGTTTATCAAATTTGAGTGTGACGCATACAAATCCTGTAAAATTATCAAAGGCAAAATCGACTTTCAAATCAAGGATTGATATAAATTCTAAAATAATGAATCATTTTCAGGTCGGGGAACTAACTGGAGACCATCAGCTCACCAAGGAGCAGATCATGGAAACCCAGGTAAGGCTTCTCAGTTGCATTTCAGTCATTTCAGTTTGTAAGAAATCGTTCCAGTTTGTAAGCTATATAACTTAATTTGTTTGCCCCCTGAAATTCATGTATCATTCAGAAAATTTATTTGACCTAAAAACAATCTAAATTCGTATCCGGCCGTATTCTTTATTGTCTTCTTAATCAGATTCCTAATCTCATTTACGTTCCACTTTAACTTACTTTTGCATGGAAGTTCAGAGAAGTACAAATAGGATAACTTTTGTAGTTTTTAAGACATTCTAAGTTCAAATTCTAGGGAGTTTGGTTAGTGCTGTTAGTAAGTGCCTACAGCGCTCTCTTTTAATTGTCAGTTTTTTTTTTAAATTATCGTCACTAAGCTCCGTGTTGAGAGAATTGTAGGTATTTTACTGACGTGCCGCAGATTCTCGCTGAGGATGTTATATTTTACCGAATAATTCAATACCCGCAGATCATTGTGTGCACACCGGAGAAGTGGGATGTGATCACCCGGCGTGGCGGAGAGCGCGCCTTCACTCAGCTCGTGCGTCTCATTATCCTCGACGAAGTTCATCTGCTGCACGATGAGCGCGGCCCTGTGCTCGAGGCGCTTGTTGCGCGTTCATTGAGGGCAACCAATACCATCGGTAAGACGACGGCTCATCATATTTTATTCTGGTTTGGTTAATTCCGGATATTCCCCAGCTTAATTCTTGTTATTCATTTACTCCGCGCCGCGAGCAAGATAGCTCAGCTCTGTTTTATGTGTTGATTAATTTACTTCCGTAATATTTTTTTACTGAGTTTATCACTCGAAAATTATTTAAAATACTCTATTGTTATTATTGTCTTTATTATTATTGTTTGATGCTTTTTATACTTGAATTGTATCATTTAATTGTATCGTATAACCCTAATTTTGTCATTTGGTGTGCCTTAGTTATGAACATTTTCCATTCTATTTCTAACCAGTTGAATGAATTATTCTCCAAAAAATGGTCGTTCTGTAAATTTGATTATACTTTAATCCTATATTATAAACATACTGAAACTTAACGTACGTTATTGGCATGCAGGTCATGCCCCTGCTCGGCTGGTCGGTCTGTCCGCCACGTTGCCCAATTATCAGGATGTCGCTGCCTTCCTCAGAGTTGATCTCAAAACAGGCCTCTTCTTCTTTGATAACAGGTGCTCCTAAACTTAGCTGACACTTACTTTGATATATGAATTCCTAATATTACCTATAACATTTTACCAGCATTTTGCTTCCTATGTTATGAAAACTAGTTGAAATGAAAAAATTAAAAATGGTGACGTTGTTGTCGAATATGTATTTTTTCTTCAGCATGGAAATAATCCTTTAAAAGCCATCCTCAAAACATGTTGCAACTCTTTATACTCTTCCTACAGTTTCCGGCCAGTGCCGCTATCGCAGACCTACATTGGCATCAATGAGAAAAAAGCGATAAAGCGCTACCAAGTTATGAATGAGATTCTTTACAACAAGGTGCTCGAGCATGCCGGCAAAAATCAAATTCTCATTTTCGTCCACTCCAGGTACCTTCTAGATTTGCTGGTAGTCTTAGAGTTGACAGTAGAAATAAGTTAACCTTGCAAAGATGAATAGCCCACAAATGCTGCAATTCAATTATAAACACAAAAATATTCCACGTTGTATGTGTATATTATGACGAAAATCTTAAAGTTTTCACTTGGTGGTTTGTCATTTGTTAAAAAATTGATATTGCAAATTAAGCTACTGTGTAACAAAAGTAATTTTTATGTTTAGAAAGGAGACCGCTAAGACGGCACGCAGTCTGCTAGACATGTGCCTGGAAAAAGACACGCTGGGACATTTCCTTCGTGAAGGCTCAGCATCCACTGAGGTGCTCAGAACTGAAGCTGAACAAGTAAAGAACACGGAGCTCAACAGCCTACTGCCCTATGGCTTTGCCATTCATCATGCCGGCATCAACAGGATCGACAGGAATCTTGTTGAAGATCTGTTTGCTGATAGACATATCCAGGTACGCGGAATTATCATGGAATTTATCGCATAAAAATTCTTGGAACAATATTAAAAGCTGGCTAACATATTCTTGTATATATTGAAGCCCATGCGTAACCAGTGTTTGGTGAAGTGTGATTCCATGCTGTTTTTAGCGCATTTTCTCATTTGTGGAAAAATGCACTATTGTGCTCGCCATGTTCGTCCGTATGTCCGTCCGTGTTCACGTTTTCGTTGAAGAGAAAATGCGCTCTCTGTCACTCACTGCAGTGAGTACTCAGTACTGAGTTATATATTTTGTATTCTGTTAGCCTCGACTACAGTCATCAATATTTCAGGTGTTGGTGTCTACTGCCACGCTTGCCTGGGGCGTAAACCTCCCTGCCCACACCGTCATCATCAAGGGCACTCAAGTCTATGATGCCGGCAAAGGGCGTTGGGTGGAGCTTGGAGCCCTTGACATCATGCAGATGCTGGGACGTGCTGGCAGACCTCAGTACGACACGAAAGGAGAAGGTCAGAATCTTTATTACGATCCATCATTCTGATTTAGAGTGAAAGTTTCTAGTTTTCACCAAAATATGTCTCATGCTATGCTTGCTTGATACTTGATACAGTACTTTAACTCTTGAACGTGAATAGATTAGAATTTTGAAATCAATATTTAGGCAATGAAAATGAATTGTCTCCCGTTGAAGATATGAATTGGGAGTAGTTGATACGCTATTAGAATCGGTGTAGTGGAGTAGGAATTTTTTTTGCTTTCATTTCTGATTATTCAGCTTTTAGTTCAATTCTCTCCTTCCAGGTATCCTGATCACAAACCATTCCGAGCTGCAGTACTACCTATCTCTGATGAACCAGCAGCTACCCATAGAGTCGCAGCTCGTGGGACGCTTACCAGATCTTTTGAATGCCGAAATTGTTCTGGGTGCGGTGCAGAACATGAGCGAAGCCGTAGACTGGCTTGGTTATACGTATCTTTATGTTCGGATGCTCAGGTCCCCTAACCTGTATGGCGTGTCACAGGAAGATCTAAAGAAAGACGATCCGCAGCTGCTAAAGCATCGTGCGAACCTCATCCACACAGCTGCTGTCAAGCTTGAAAAATCCAACCTTATTATGTATGACAAGAAGTCTGGCCAGTTCCAGACAACAGAACTTGGCAGAATCGCCAGTTATTTCTACATCACATTTGACACAATCAATGTCTTCAACTCACAGCTCAAAAGCACACTGAGTGAGATAGAACTCTTCAGAGTGTTCTCTCAAAGCTCGGAGTTCAAGAACATTATGGTTAGAGAGGAAGAAAAATTGGAACTAAAGAAGCTCATGGAACGAGTACCCATCCCTATAAAGGAGAGTGTTGAAGAGCCCAGTGCCAAAGTGAATATTTTGTTGCAAGCATACATTTCGCAACTCAAACTTGAAGGTTTCGCCTTGATGTCTGACATGGTGTACGTGACGCAAAGCGCCGGTCGTCTGATGAGAGCCATCTATGAGATAGTCTTGCACCGTGGCTGGGCTCAATTGGCCGACAAAGCACTCAATCTCTGCAAGATGGTTGACAAGAGAATGTGGCAGTCAATGTCCCCTCTGCGGCAGTTCAGGAAGATACCAGAAGAGGCCATCAGGAAGTTGGAGAAGAAAAGCATCCCGTGGGAGCGACTCTATGACTTGGGTCCCAACGAGATCGGTGAGCTAATCCGAATGCCTAAAGGTGGCAAATTGATCCACAAGTATATCCATCAGCTGCCCAAACTAGATTTGGAGACACATATTCAGCCCATAACAAGGCAAATGCTCAAAGTTGAGTTGACGATCACGCCTGATTTCAAATGGGATCCCAAAGTTCATGGTCAGTCAGAACCATTCTGGATCATTGTGGAGGATGTCGATGCCGAGACCATCCTTTATAATGAATACTTTTTGCTAAAGCAAAAGTTTGCTGAGGATGAACATGTGGTGCGTTTCTATGTGCCTGTGTTTGAGCCTCTCCACCCGCACTACTTCATCAGAGTCGTTTCTGAGAAATGGTTGAGCGCCGAAACACAGCTGCCAGTTTCATTTAGGCACCTTATCCTTCCTGAAAAATATCCGCCTCCCACTGAGCTACTAGACTTGCAGCCGCTACCCATCACTGCTCTGAGAAACCCTCATTTTGAAGCGCTCTACAAGAATCTGAACAAGAACCAACAGTTCAACCCCATCCAGACTCAAGTCTTTAATGCCACCTATAACTCTGATGACAGTGTCTTCATTGGTGCACCTACTGGCTCTGGTAAAACTCTGTGCGCTGAATTTGCTATCATGCGCATGTTCAGCCAGGACGAGAACGCTCGCTGCGTGTACGTTGCAGCAAAAGATGAGGTCGTTTCTAGCATGTATGAGGAGTGGAGCGACAAGTTCGGAAGCAGCAGCGGCCTTGATAAACGCGTTGTGAAGCTCACTGGCGAGACTGGCACAGATCTCAAACTGCTGAACAAGGCCCACATCGTGGTAAGTTCTGCCGAGAAGTGGGATGTACTTTCTAGGCGCTGGAAGCAACGTAAAAATGTGGAAAACATCCAGTTGTTCATTGTCGATGAGCTTCATCTCATGGGTAACCCTGGGAATGAAGGTCCCACCATCGAAGTGGTGTGCTCTCGAGTACGTTACATGGCGAGTAAGAAGAACAGACACATCCGCATTCTGGCGCTATCGTCATCCTTGGCCAATTCTCGAGATGTGGCACAATGGCTCGGCTGTTCGACCAACTGCACATTCAACTTTCATCCCAATGTCAGGCCTCTGCCTCTGCAATTGTACATCCAAAGTTTCAACAACTCGCACAATGCTTCTCGACTTCACGCCATGTCCAAGCCGGCTTACCTGGCTATCTTGAAGCACAGCCCTGCCAAGCCTGCGATGGTTTTCGTGCCGTCACGTAAGCAGACAATCATCACTGCTTCTGATCTCCTGACGTACGCGACGGCAGACAATGATTCACTTCGGTTCCTGCAGGTAGAAGCATCCGAGCTGGCAGAGTTTGTGCAGCAATTGGAAGATCCAGTTCTGCGTGAGGTGGTGGCTCAGGGCGTAGCTTTCTTGCACGAAGGCCTGAGTGACCGCGACAGGAGGCTCGTACACACGCTTTTCCAGGCAGAAGCCATCCAGGTGGTGGTGGTGAGCCGGGCGCTCTGTTGGGCTGTAACTGCTCCCGCGCATCTCGTTGTCATCATGGACACGCAGAGCTACGATGGTCGCCAGCATGCCTACATCGATTATCCCATCACTGACATCATCCAGATGGTAGGGCGAGCTAACCGACCCAACCAGGATCAGCAAGCCAAGTGTGTCCTCATGTGCCACACAACCAAGAAGGAATACTTCAAGAAGTTCCTTTACGAACCTCTCCCTATAGAGAGTCACTTGGATCACTGCCTTCATGACCACTTCAACGCTGAGATTGTTACGCGTACCATTGAAAACAAGCAGGAGGCTGTGGATTATCTCACTTGGACTTTCTTGTACAGGAGGATGACCCAGAACCCAAATTACTACGGCCTGCAAGGCGTGTCTCACCGCCACTTGTCTGACCATCTCTCAGACTTGGTCGAGTCAACTCTGAACGACTTGGAGGAGTCCCGTTGCATATCCATCGAGGATGACATGGACACTGCACCGCTCAACTTGGGCATCATCGCCTCGTATTATTACATCAAGAACACTACTATCGACCTGTTCAACAAGTCTCTCAACAACAAGACGAAAATTCGAGGCCTGCTTGAAATTTTGGGAAGTGCGGCCGAGTACGAAGAGGTACCAATGCGTCACGGTGAAGAGGATCTTCTCAGAAGAATGCTCACAAAGCTGCCTCACAAAATTGAGGGCAAAGTGACAGACCCTCACTTCAAGACTAACCTTTTGTTGCAAGCGCACTTGTCCCGACTGACTCTTACAGCAGAGCTCCAACAGGACGTGGAAATGGTACTTAGTAAAGCTATTCGACTCATCCAAGCGTGTGTCGACGTACTAAGCTCAAACGGTTGGCTTGCCCCTGCTCTATCCGCCATGACACTGGCTCAAATGGTGACCCAAGCCATGTGGTCGAAAGACTCCTACTTGAAGCAACTCCCTCATTTCAACAAAGAAATCATCGAGCGCTGCGAAGCGAAGGACGTTTCGTCTGTGTTTGATATCCTGGAACTTGAAGATGATGACAGGAACAGATTGCTTCAGTTGACAGACACTCAAATGGCGGACGTGGCTCGTTTCTGTAACAGATACCCGAGCATCAACCTGGACTACCAAGTGCTTGACTCGGATAACCTGGAAAGCGGCGGGTCAGTGAATGTGGAAGTGGTGTTGGAACGAGAAGACGAGCCAGGCTCCGTGATTGCACCACTCTTCCCTCACAAGCGCGAGGAAGGTTGGTGGGTCATCATTGGAGACCCTAAAGCCAACTCACTTATTTCCATCAAGCGCCTCACGCTCATGCAGAAGGCCAAGGTAAAACTGGACTTCGTTGCCCCAGCTGAAGGTAACTACGAGTACCGCCTCTACTTCATGAGTGATGCCTACATGGGATGCGATCAGGAATACAAGGTGCCTCTCAGAATCAGGGAGGCCGAGTCGGAATCAGACTCAGAGAGTGACTAAGCTCCAACATTAATTTCAATGTACTAGTTACATAATTTCAAGATTTCCGGGTGAAGTTCAACCATTTGAAACGTATCAAAGTAAATAAATTCTGAACACACTACGTACTTTTACTTCTAAACATTTTGTTTTTTCTAGGTCATTGCCACATTTTCCGACTTCAGTATTTCTGAACTTAGCAGGCATTCCTGTACCTTTAACACGCAATTCTGTGTCCCTGTTATTCGTGTATTGTGTGAAACATTGATTTTTTAACTTAAACGTACGTCTTATTGCTTTTCAGTTTTTTCTCATTCATGTTTCGATTTTAATTAAAAAAAATTACGGTTGAATCTCGTTTTCCATTTAATATCTTGTCTGATCAGTAGTTGCAAAATAATTGTGTAGCAAAAATTAATCTTTTCGTTTTATAAATCGGTACCTCTCTAAAATCATCTGTAGGAATGAAGAATACTTTCAGCTTTGCTCCCATAGTGTACTCTGCTCGCATTCTTTGCAGTAAATATCGATAACACTACACTTTTTTCTTCATTGCATCCTTACATTATAGTGAAACCTAAATCAAATCTTAAATATGTTGTATGAATTGAAAGAAATCTCGCCCCAAATTTAAACCCCTCAACATTGGATCGAGCTTGGATATCGTGTTCATACTGCAAACAAACAGCTTTATCAACGTCGCGGCCTTTATCAGTGGTCTACAAACTTTTTCAGCTTCGGTGGGGTACTCGATATAAAATTTTAATTTCCTCGGGAGCCAAAAAATCGTTGACAGTTATTTTTTCCATAAATTTATCCGGCTCCGTTTCTCTTCTGCGACCTAATGCCCGAATTCAAGTGAACTTCAATCAAAGTAGTTTTACTGTCATAGGAGGTTGACATATCGGAACTAATAAACACTGACTATTCGAAAGCGACTGTGCAACGTCATCGTCATGTGTCCCAGTAAAATCAGCAGGCCGCGCGCAGAAATTTCGAAAATCATTTTAAATTTCTTCCAGGGAAACTCACGATATCGATAATGTATCATATTGATACGATAAAAATCTAATATTAATCACAACACTTAATTAAAGTTTAAACATGCTTTATTCGAATCCAATAGATTTTTAGACTTTTGAATCCAGAGAAATGATACTTAGACGTGTAGTGTATTGTGAGCTCACTCAGTTCAGGTAAAGCGCGGGGAGAGTTGCAATCAAATCAATACAGAGCTCGGGAGCAGCAGCGGCAGCTGTACACAAAAGTAGCTTCATTGCGACCAACTCCGACCTCTCAGCCTCTGGCAACACACAGCATGGCTGCAGTAGGTGCCCTGCTGTTTGAGTGAGAGGACGTGAGCGTATCAGCATGCACGTTATGGTGGACTTTCTTCTCTGACAAGACGTGTTCTCTTCGGTGATGAGTGGTCTTCCTCACAACAATGTGACAACCTGTTGGAGTAGTCTTACCTTCAAGAAGGTCGCTATACTACTCTATTGGAGTCTCGGAGGATTTTATGGTAAGGTTATATCACTTGCAGGTTGAATTATTTTAATCATGTTATAGGCTTTCGCGAAATTGATTTGTATTAGGGAGCATTTAGCCTACCGTAGTGGTTAGGTATCTCCCTTAGCCTTGATCTTTAAATGGTATTAACATGATTTCAAGATCCTGCGCTGTGAAGCTCCATTTATTTCATCTGAGCGGGGTGAAATCGGTGAATGACAAACTTAAGTGTGAAGTAAATGACGAACGTAGGTTAGGAATCGAAGTTTCTACAAAATTGTATCATTTGTATGAATGATTTGTCATTAATATGATTGAATTACAGCCTGAAAGCCCTAACACGTGACAAGTTAATTTTTGAAACCTTCTTCGTTATATAGTCTATACTGTCCGAGCTAGTAAAATACTACTGTCCGACCTAGTAAAATACATTCCGGCCGACCACTAGACTAGGTATTAATTACCTAGACAAATTAGTTGACAATGGGAGGCGACGAAAGAGCAAGCTGGAGCGCAGTCGTGCAAGCGACTTCTATGTCATTTATGTTGTTCCAACAACTGTCCTGTCAAAGTGTCGCTTATTTGTGAGATCCAGAATTTTCAAAATTTTGATTCCTGATATGTAGGAGCCAAGCTCATTTGATCAGCTGGCTATCTGTACGCATAGATTGATGTTCAGATTGACGCTATTTGTCAGCACGACGTTCCAGAACAAGTGGTACTAAATCATGTGGCATTCTGCCCTTGGATGTTTCGTTCAATCGATTATTCGCTGGTCAATCGAGTAAAACAAGGAATTGCATTCTATAATTGCTTTCGATCGTACATAAATTACAGTTATTCGTGTGGTTTCGTAGCGGTCACTGACATAGCAATCAATATCATATTCTACCGTGACAATCTTACGTAGTTTCATTCTCTTCTGTAGTCGCAGCTGCATGCGGTAGTGAAGATTGACAAGAATAACTAAGGGGTGTTTCTGGAATCTTTGACTGCGTACGAAAATGTATATATTTTTTACAAATATTCTTCGCCTTTTTCTCAGAGTAACCGACAACATTTTGATTAAATTCGTAACAAGGTAAATCTTGGCCAACGTCTTCCGTCACGCTCAAGTATGGGCCAGCCTCTGTTGTGACTTTGAGCACGATACTCATAGTACGTTTCTGTGACTCTAGTTACCGCCCTTAGTTAGGAATGGCTTTAGTGACTAAGATATTATGCAAGCAATAAACTTGCTCTGACTACATTGGCAATAGGTTTATAATAAATGAAGGGCGTTAGTAGTTCTATACTGAAACGATGGTGTATGCGTTCAATTTATGTATTATCGCTAGACCGTCAGTAGCATTCACATGCTGACCAAATAAGAAAAACCTCGTCTTTAATCTAGTACTTCTCTTGGTGAAGTATTCTAAACTTCCTTCGACCCTGCCCAGTTTACCCCAGACGCGGTTTTCTCGCAGGCTTGTAGTTATTTGACGACAAAATGCTAAATCTAACTTGATACTGGAAACCTTTTAGATACTGCACGAGTATTCCTAATCTAAATCAATATTGCTGAAGTAGGATCGAAGTTGTCTGCTCTCCTAGTTTCATGAGAATTGTTCCCGTGCTTGCCGGCAATTTTCTTTCGGTCTATAACGCAGCCAATGAGAAAAGCTTAGTTTTAATTGTGGTGACCGCTTAAAATTGTCCATTAGCGCTCTATATTGCCAGATTGGGGACTGGGACTAACGTTTTAGAAGATTCTCATAAGAATTTCTGAAATAATATTTTAAGAGAACGACGAATCAGTCTTGTCAAGTACGTTTGGAATTAAAGTATTGTGATGATTGTTCATTCTCTAATTGCGAGCAGAAAGCCGAACTCCAAAACTTTTAGCAGAATAAATAAATATATTCATGCATTGGCCTTGTCAATGGAGTTATGAGTTATGAAGGTTTTGAGCTCCACTTATTTCTTAACATAACTGCGATCATTTTCTGTTTTTAAATTACGGAATTCGTATTGCATAAATTATCAAGATAAAAAAATGAATCTTTATTTCGGCCACTATTTTACAACACTTCTCTTTAACTTCACTTGTTGTTTGTTTGTCTGCTACAAACCTTATAATCGAAATTTAACACACTTCTACTTATCCTATCGATCTGAAATCTTGCACACTTGCGTAAAGTTGGAGACAATGCATGAATCAAATGACAAAATAAATAATTTTAAAAATTAAAAAAATTCAATGTTAAAAAAAATGTACAAAATAATTTTGTCAGCTACAAATCTTATACCGTAATTGATATTTGACACACTTTTACCTGTCCAATTGATCTGAAATTTTGCATACTTGTGTGAAGTCGGAGGCAATGCATGAATCAATAGACAGAATAAATAATTTTGAAAAAAAAAAAATAAATTATACAAATTTTGAGCAAAAATTTTTATATTCGAAAATAAAATTAGAAATTCATTGTAAATCTGTATACATTTGAGAATGAGACACTGGATTCTTTAGAAGTGTTGTCTTTAAAAATTAATTTTTAAACATATATTATTATTTCGAGCTCAATAGGTCTCCAGACAGTGATTGGAGCAGTCAGTGGCAAGTTCGAAACCCGCAAATAGTTGTGACAGATTATACGATAGGTAGGTATCAAAAATCTGCTACTGGCCAACATGCTAGAGACTTTTTCGAATACCAAAGCATAAGGGGAATTTTTTGCCATCAAAATGGTCTAAAAAAATTCTAAATTATAAGTTTCCCAAGCTATGATTAAACATTTTTTAGAAAATACGAATGAAACGCAGTTTTCGCTTCAGCGGGCGAGATGTTGAACCTACATAAAACCTGCATCACGTTGTGACCTTTGGAGATGTCACGCCTAGCTGAGAAGCGGGCAATTGTAAATTAAGCATTTGCATTAGTTGCGATTTGGATCAATTTGTTGCGGCAACAAAATTATAAGCCAATGATATGCTTATGGCTGTAAAATGTAATTTGCAATTTTGCAAGTTCCTTTCCATCTTGCTTTGGATTAAATCTATACCTTGATAATAAAATATAGTTATACATTTGATTTAAGCTGCACACTTATGTTTCGTGCTATAATTAAATATGCTAATTTTCGTGCTATAATTAAGTATGCATCAATTGAGTAAATGACTTGCTACGGATTTTACAAAATTCGCAGGCTGTGCCATGTTGCGCGCCGCACAGCGAGCTTTTCTGCGACGCTGGCGAGATGGCGCGCTGTTCCAGCTCAGACCACCTGCGCGCACCCTGAAGGTCTTCATGGCATACCTCACCAGACTGGGTCCCATCTCCACCCTGGTCATCATACTGCTCCTCATACACTTCACTTATCAGGTGAGCATTGAGCCTGACCAGACTGGGGCCTGTCTCCACCCTGGTCATCATACTGCTCCTCATACACTACACTTACCAGGTGAGCATTGAGCCTGACCAGACTGGGGCCTGTCTCCACCCTGGTCATCATACTGCTCCTCATACACTACACTTACCAGGTGAGCGTTGAGCCTGACCAGACTGGGGCCTGTCTCCACCCTGGTCATCATACTGCTCCTCATACACTACACTTACCAGGTGAGCGTTGAGCCTGACCAGACTGGGTCCTGTCTCCACCCTGGTCATCATACTGCTCCTCATAAACTTCACTTATCAGGTAGGTACACACTTCTGGTAAACGTAAAACTAATCTTCATGTTTAACCAAAGGTCAATAATTACAACGTTCAGTCAAAAGTTTACTAGAGCCCTACACTCGAGTGCGTGTGCGTCTTGGATATTGCTCGTTCTGGAAATTTTGTTGCTCCGGAAGACAGCACAAATTTTTGGATAGAACTTCTTTTTTGGCCATTTTCCCGACCAAATTTTCTTACCAAAAAATTTTCGACCAGGGGTTGGTAAACTGATTCACCGTCCACTCTTCATATGATATTTAAATTTAAATCGGCCTTCTCCTCCGACCTGGACTCGTCCAAATAGGTGAAAAAATTACACCAATATTGATATTTTTAATGCATAATAATAGAGTAATGTTATAAACCAAACTAATCTCGTATTATACCTTACAAATATTCAATAGAATATTTAAATTTATAGAAAGATGCAGTCTTCACTGATGTGTTTAAAAAAATAAGAATAGAAAACTGCCTGAAAATTTTCATTTTTTAAATCTGACCATACTTGATCCTTATCTTTGAATGAATAAATTTACCTCTTTCCGAGCCCCCATAAACTTATTCACCACTTGATTTTTGTCGTCGGCCAACTGGGGTCGCCATCGACCTCTTCGCTCAACCTTTAATTTATAGTTTATACAAATGAATATCAGCGTTTCTAAATTATGTGGTGCCCCAAAAATATCCTAATAACAGTTATATTATTGCATTTATGTAGCTATTCTTTTTCGATCATATGAGACTGATTTCCTTTATTTATAACATAGCACCTAACAAAAAAATGAACATAAATCAGTGATGAGGCCTGATAATGTAATACGATTATGATTCCTAGCGTTAGCTACACGTGCCTTGCATTTGTTTTAATCTCACTCGGTTTACCCTGAAGATCGTGACGATTACCGTCTTGAACGTTTCTCAAGTTGCAGCGCACGAGTTATCTGATAAGGCAATACACAACATGGTGGAACGGTGCACCTCTTTAGCTTCTTGATTGATTTGCTAATTTTAATACCTCAACGTTTAACCTTACGTCCAGTTACTGGTGTTTTGAATTGTACATAAATCAGACATAAAATTTCATTTATGCAAGTAAAAAATAAATTTGGTAGCTCCTCGATAAAAGATCCAGGCGTTTACGCTAGCCGAAAAAATGAGGTAGCAATGAGAACCACGTATAGAAAGATACAGGAGAAAGAGCCGATAACTATGCATGTGGGAGGTTTAGTGAGAATCTTGCAGAACCTAGCAAAAAATAAGACTCGGAGGCAAATTTGTTTGCTCCCTTCTGTTTATTGCCATGCCCTTAGATCAGCCTGTATTTTCAATTATTGCGCGGGAGGTAACTAGATAACTAATCAATAACAGATCCCAGCACCACGATGACTATTGACCTCCAAATCACTGAAATGTTATATTCTCTTTCAGAAACTATGACTGACTTATTAATTAATAAATTCTGCTTTCAATTTCGTATTGCCACTCTCTTTCGTCCAGGGTTAAAGTCGACTGTGCAGATATCAACAGACAACTTTCTACTCTATCAGAAGGTATTAAATTCCTTTGAAACGTAGCTCTTGAATAAGAAATAGGATTTACTACTCCTTGAAGGCATCAAGTGGCAGTTCTTAATCATCATTTAAGCGCGTCAAACGTCAGCTGAAACATGAATGTAATCTCATGTGCGGCTGAGCTGAGCCATAATCTGAGCTTCGTAAATAAATTGCCCCTTCCTACGTTACTTAACTCGATCTATGTAGCTTGTAACAATAAACGTTTTTGATGTTTGTTACTTATTTATCTTGCATACCTTCATTCATTTTATCGCAGCAACGCCCTGTTAATAAACCGCACTTAGCCTGGACTGATAAGAAACGGCAATCAAGAACAACACAAATGAATCTTGTAATAATTGAGACTAAATCTTGGTAATACATGTATGTACGAGTAGAAGTAATTTCCGAGACTTCATTATAAATCATAACTAACTACTATTTGTAAATATATTAGCTTAGCTCTGGCTATTAAACCTTTAAACGCTAAGTTGACCACATGCTCTCCGTGTATCTGGCCGCTGCTGGCATGATGCGATAAGGTGAGTGGTGATATCGGGATGCCTTTATTATTCAGGAAGAAAGGAGAGCTTTGTGAAAGATAACATTGCATTGAACTAGCGAGTATGCTGCAATAGTGTTCCCTTTCAAAAATATTCTTTATTATTTGAAGATAAATACAAGCTTAGAAATTAGGTAGATTTATAGTGGTTTCAAAATGACTTCACAAATTGGCAAGACCATTTCAGTCAGCGTCACTCATCAAAATTTTAGTTAATGGCATTCAACTGAAGTTAACTGTCTGCTATATATTTAAGCAGTGACTAATTAGACAAAATACTATAGCTTATTTTGATTTCATAAAGTGGATCGGTTCTGTCCTATGAGATTAATGTAACTTCTACTCTGTGATATGGATTAAATTTAGGGAGAGATGCCAAACGTCAATAAATGCGAATTATAATAATCGTCCTGTCTCATTGGATGCTCATGGCAGCTTACAATTTAATAGACTTGAAAAATGAATGATTACAAATTAATAATACTCAGAGTTCTATTTTTTCTACATCCACGCTGAGTGTTTGGTTTTGCCTTGCACAGTTGCTGCCGGCCAGTGTATTTTCAACGTTTCTGCTCGTATTCTTCATAGTCGAGCTTTTCGGTAACTGGCTTCTGTTCTTGCGGACCAAAAGCTTCATCGAGAAATGCACCGGCAACAGGTGAGCATTTAGCGTAGTCAGTATTTCGCTATCAGGATTGGATGCCAGAACAATCTTAATCATATCAGGGAGATTATTAGATACGCACATCCTGTATGAAAATATCCTCGTTGCTTATTTGAATCGGTAATGTATTTTTTTCTATTGGAATTTTTAGCCCATTCGAGTGATTGATAAATAACATTGTCACTTTTATTATTTTTATACATAAGAGATTTGTTAGATTTAAAATTAAGGTGAATGTCAGTGTTGTGAACTAGTTGTAAGTTCTCATTATTAGCGAGAACAAGCATTTTCTACGATGCAGTCATCTAAATATGCTTTTCTAGCCGTAATCATTGAGTTGGGCGGGTGGGGTTCGGAATAGCAAAATGTTGAAGCATTGCGATAGCGATGTGAAATCCATAGCTAGCCTGAAAAATTCTTGTGATTCCTGTGATCGACGACAATTCAATTTGGCATAATCTTTAAGTCCGACTCCGCGCTGTTATATAACTATTGACTGCAGTGCCTAAATGGAGTACATGCATGATCTTATTTTATTTATTGCAGCGAGATCAGCCCAGGACTCTCACACAGCGAGTGCCGTCATTTACGCTATTGTCCGAGCTGCAAGATTTACAAGCCAGAGCGCTCGCATCACTGCTCGTTATGTGACCGCTGCATTCACCAGCGAGACCACCATTGCTTCTTCCTAGGCACCTGCGTGGGAGGCTATAATCTCTGTTATTTTGTCATCTTCTGCTTCTACGCCTGCATTGGGTGAGTTCCTCAAACTCTACTTTACTGCGTTACAAATAAATTGCATGTACGTATATATCGGTTGACAACCCCGGTTGCAATGAACTCATACGGTGCCTAAGCTCAAACGCCAAGTTTTACGTCGTTCTAGAAAAAAATAGTCGATTTAGAATCAAATGAATCTTAAGTATCCAGTATAAGAATAGCGGTAACCGCATGGTTCTAATGTGATGCTATTTTCGGGCCTATATTCTTGATAATCACTTTTTTACCCATGAATATCAAGTCACTTTACTATCAATCCAAAGTAGAATTACAACTGGCGATGAAAGCCCGACAACATTTTCTAAATCAGCATCGGTTTACTAAACTCTTGAAACACCGAGTGAGTTTGATCAAAGAAAATACTGCTAGTAAGCCTAGTAATCGATCAGAATTTAGCCCCGAGTCTCAGCAGGGCTGTAGATTAATATTTAATACTTTCCTTATCATTTATATGATGTAATATAGCGGTTTCAGCGTTTATTAGGCCATAGGCCTGTCGCCGATTCTTAACATCGCAGAACATCCACAGCTTGTTGCGGGCTTGTACTCACAACTCACTGCTTCAAATTTTCTTTGATTAACCGCCCGGCCTCCTTGCCGATTTTGACCAGAAACTGGGACACAGAGCTGGGATCCTCGCCTCTCTGCACCAATCTTGGTACTCTGAACTTTAGCCACTGGGCCACAAGGCCACCCTGTCCGTTATTTGAATCGATTTTAATTTTCATTTTGATACGACTTTTTAATTCCATGATTTCCAACACTAGAGATGAAGTATTGTGCCTTTTCAAAATGTTTTCTGCTTGTGTTTAGTTACACTTGTCTGAAACTGAGTTGAGGAGTAGCAGTTGGAAACTCTTATTCTCCAGCGTATAATGTTTCTTCACCAAAATATCGTTTGATTCGTATTTATCAAATTTAGTGTCATTTTATAGCTTTCCTTATTGTTTGAACGTTGTCAACGAATCGCTGATTATTCAAAAACTCACGTGACTGACAGGTATATTGTGTACATTTGTACGTAGCTCACTTCAAGTCTCATGTGCAGATGCTTCTATTCGGCAAATAAGCTACACAAGTACTACTCGCAGACGTACCTCAGGGATTTCTGGTCTGCACAATTCCATTATTATTTCTACCCTGTGACGCTCATCCACTGGTTCTATGGCCAGGTTCGTAATAACTAAACAAATTCAATTTGCCATTTATTACAAGCTCTTTTTTTTCGCTTTTTCGGCAATTCAACTCGGCCTTGAACTACTATTTTTTTGCATTTCATAATTATTTATTTATGATGAGCCGCATTTAAAATTATTAATGATTTCTCTAACAACGCAGAAGTTGAATGAACTAGCGGGGTTATTTTGTGCGCAGGCGGCTCTGGCCGAGGTCGGTTGGGTGACGCTGCTTTATATCGCCGTCGCCACAGTGCTCTTCACTGGATTCTGTGTGACGCAGCAGCTCTTTTACGTCTTCAGGGGACAAACTGCCTACGAGTACAATAAAGTGAGTTGTATGAGAGAACAGAGGGGTTTATTGTTGTTGAACGAAGACAAGCTATCTACGAGTACAATAAAGTGAGTTGTCACGATAATTGGGTTCATCAATAACTATTATGCGGTGTTAGTTATTGAATCGCGTATGCTTGAAGTTGAAGGGCTATGAACCTAATTAGGCTATTCAAGGACGAAGATTAGTTAGACAACCAATTTATTAACACGTCTTCAACTCTCACGATTCTCGAAATTGAGTAGACTCGTATTAGAAGCATGATGCGATCTATGAACCACAATTATGAGACTAATACCTATTTAAGCTAACTATCTTCTGGCTTAGGGCCTCCTGATGGTGCACAGGTCGGCGGCTCACAATTTCCTGCATGTGTTCGGGCGGTATTGGATGCTTCAGCTGCTGGTGCCGCTGCCGCGCTGTTACAGAGACATCACGAATACGACCATTCTGAAGATTGTGTGAGACGTGACCGCAGGGCTGCAAGTATGAACCCTTTATTTGGGAAATAAGTGTCCTGATATGTAATCACAACTCGCTCTCATACAGCAACATTCACAAATGTCATCGTAATATTATAAAGTACTTACAATTAGGCCCTAACGAATAGTTAGAGAGAGGATGGAGTGAGTTAGACGCCTGCAAGGCTGCAAGTTAAGGAGCAATATTTCAGTTACTCTTTTTACCTTGGGTATGACTTAAATACCTCAATGATCATGGAATCAAATTTTGCATGCAGTCATATTTTATTCGTTCTTGATGCGGCAGACATGATTTTTTTCTAAGCGCTGATTGTTCTTGAATACCGATTAAGTATGAATTTATTCATAAAAAATGCAACAGATGGCTTGTCATCATCTATACTAGATTTTATAAACATGGCCGCCGAGCTAGGGGGTGTTGAAAGCTTAGTATACTTATAACCAATTTATTTTGCGTGCGATCGGAAGAATGGAAACTGTGCTACCCATACATTCTGTACGAGGCGTTGTTTAAAAATGCTACCAGTTCCCAATCAGCGCTGTGTTAATCTGCCAGTATATAATAATTTGCCATAATATTGCCGAGGCAATGCACTAAATTTATATGTAGTCACAGACAATTTTTGATACAACATACCAATGAGTTTGCGCATTAGCTAATTTTTTCCATTCGAGATAGCACCATTTTCAACTGGAGCCAGATGCTTCATGCACATTTGTAATCTCGTGAAACGGTAAAAGTATAAGGATACATCTCGAGTTGTCATGACATTAATTAAGAAAACCTGTTTCCACTGAAGTCGTGAATTGAGTACCTGAGGAGCCCAACTTCGAAAGCAAAGTATTTTGTAACTTGCACTTGCGATTACCAAATTAACTTGTCGTTCATATCAAGTTTGACTAATTGTGATGTGGCCAACGTGTAGGTTACGAGGCTTATCACCATTTATAAAATGTATACTACTGTACGTAGCCATGTAAGTAGCTTGTTAGAACGCTTCCGACGCTTCTGTGATGTTCTATAGTTCCCTATCCCTTGCAGTAGGTAATAACAAAATTGCACCGATGCCCTTCATCCTCACATGCTTTTCTACTAATCATGCACGCAGCAGGCTGAAGCACCGTCGATTATTAAGATGTATTCGTAATTGTGTCACTGGCAACTGTTCAGATAATTAGTTAGTTTTGACCGTCTGCGCGAATAGTGAAGAAACTCCCCTACATTCTTATCGAATAACTATGCTTTGCTCAATGTACGTAGCCTTAGTAACCAAATTTCGAATCCCAGTCTACTCTTCGCTTCAATTAAAGTAGGCGCAATTCAGTTGTTCATCTGCAAGGGCATTATTACACCTAGGAACTAATATTCTTACATCGAGGAATCAATAAAAACCAGTAAGTAACATTATTGACGTGCAGGTTGTTTCAGTAAAGGGATGAAATTACAATGGGATGATTATGATTCACAGATCTAAAGTGTTCCCACTTACATCCATGTGAGCGAAAAAGTAAAGCTACTCGATATAAATGGCTCACAACAAGCATCGACGTCGTAATTGCTAATTTTGTAACCAACTAAATGTTGGTTAACAAATGTTCACTATTTTGAATGTAATTTTATGCCAAATTAACGTTAGTAATCCCTGAACAAAGCACAGCGGCTGTCACTATTCGACTTGCCCATAATGTAAAAAATTTCGCCACACGCTTGTTGCTATCCTATTTTTTATATGCACATGATAATAAAGCCTTAATGATACGTTGTAGTTTTTATTCGTCAGGTTTCATATGTAATGGCAAACACTAGTTTCATTTTCTCTTTACGAACCTGGAATGAAAAACAAGCGAGTGAATTTCAACAATTCATGTGTAGGTATGCGATCAATACTTCAGTCGGAAAGCTTTAATCTTACATTGCGTTGGATGCCATCCTATTAGTTACGCCAATCAGGTTATGTTTGGCTGTTTTATCCTAGCGATATTCGGATGCCTCATGAAACATTGTCAAATCATCTACATGTATTCCACAACTTGACCGAAAAATACCTAGTAAACCGACGCCTAAAAAATAAAGGGACACGATGATAATATTCATAATAATCAGTCGAGATAATAATCACTGCATATGTAGTGATTCATATGCCCTACCCTCAATTTAAACTCGTCACAGAGTAAATTAGGCCTCTTTCTACAAAACAATTATTATACAGGTCTTTCCTATCAAAGCAAGATATCACTGAAATGCATCTAACTTAGTCGATTCCACGCAATTAAGTGACAGAAATCGAAGAAATTTCGGACTAATAGATAAGCACTAGTGATGAGGCTGCTTTGAATTGAGAAGTAAACGATAAGACTACCGTGTAAAGTAAACGATGGAAGGTAGCTATACTAATGGTGATGATGAATGGCCCCCAACATGAAACACGATGTTGAAACTTGATGGTGGAAGTGATAATGAATGTGTTACTTCACAGAAAGCACCTGATCAAATCAACCATCATAATAACGTGCTACGGGCAATGTGAGTCCTGCAAGGCACGCAAATTGCCGTATATCAGATCAATCAGATTACGATTTGCATACAAATAGTTATACGTGACGAATCTGAGACAGCGTTTGCTGCATAGAAAAAAACAGTTCAATGCACGCCGATAAGCGATTAGTACCCTCACAAAACGAAAGCACATCACTAATTACTAACTACATATTACTCAACACAATAAATGAGATAACGTCCAGGGAAATAATACGGCACGAGGTACATACATAGAGAAAGAATGATTAAAGTTAACAGGACGTTACTTTATCGTCCAGGGTTTGCTGAGGTGATTTTCGATCACCAAAGAAACGTGCGTTGAAACTCACTAACGCAGGGTAAACCAGCGATGTGTCCTCAGCCGAATAAAAGCCTTCTCACCTGAAATAAAAAAAAGACGTTTCACAAAATAATTGGTCGTCTCTCAGACCTAAGACATTTGAATTCTAATCATAAATTGTACCAGCAGCAATTCTGCAAACAATATTTTTCCAAACCACCGAATTCAAAAAGGTAAATCCAGTGACCAAGCTGAAAATTTAATGTGTCAACTTCGAGGACGGCATACAGGGATGAAAGAACAATATGTACCATAAAATGGGGTATAACTAGTACACTTATATTAGTTGTGTTTTGTACTACACGAAAATTTATTGTTAGTCAAATGGGGTAAGACAGGACCGAAGCCTTCATGGGGTAAGAAAGGACCAGCCCATGGCATGCACTCTAATTGCACTGAATTCAATTTGACAAAAGAATATGTTAGAACAATCATTGCCTGTCATTTCAGTGTTTGTTTCAACCCTCTTCTGCAAATAATGAATTTCTGGCTAATTTTTAAAGAAAACCTATGTAAAGAAGGGTCAGAAAATAGTTAACCCTGTTTGGGAAATAAGCTCTGTCTAAGGACAAATTTTTTTTTTGACCAGGTTTGTGGATGTAGGCAGGTAACCTCAAGTAATAGGCAACTGTTTAGACATACTAGGCATTCTTACCTGCTACCATCACTGCCTGACATGTATTCTAAAATGGGGTAAAAAAGGACCGGACATGGGGTAAGACGGGACCACTAAATGTTCCTGTTTTACCACACAAATGGTCCTGTCTTACCCCACAAATGGTCCTCTATTACCCTACAGTTTATCAAAAATAGTTTTTAAATGAATATATTATTGTGTAGTACATGGAGTATTTTGGTCAAAATTTTTATCTTTTGCTTAAACTTCATTATAACTTGTTAGCTTTTTTAATTAGAGAAATTTAGTGCACTATTTTAAATTGCATCAAAGGGATATAGAAATAGGGATGTCTATTCCCATTAGTGAGCTGCAGAACTATGTGCAAAATTGGTTGGGGGAAAAATCATTGTGTGAAACATGAAAAATAATTATGATCGCAACTCTGTGAGAGGGCATGAGCTATGTTTGAAGAAGTGCACCACAAATGCAGTTAGCAAGAAAACACATGATGTCTGACACTTAAGTTATTATCCATTGCTTTTATTACCAATTTGATACATTTTTCAGACAATGACACTAATGGAATATACATGAAGCATTTAGCAGTGCTCTACAATGAACCAAAGCCTACCCACTATTAATATGCTTAACAAAGTTTTCTCGTGACAAAAACTTCAATGTGACTGATATTAGAGTTGACTTCCCGCAACACAAAACCGTAACAAGTGGTTGTTTAATCAAATAATGTGTTTCTAGATGGACAACCTTGAATATCAGATTAGCACTTTTATTAAAAACCTTGTAACATAAGAATTACCAGTTGGTCCTTTCTTACCCCAGCCTGGTCCCATCTTACCCCAATGGGGTAAGATGGGACCAGCTCAATTTTTTTAATCTGTACAGAAAACTATGTTAGATGCAAAATGTCCGAGTTGTAGCTTAGAAGCTAATTGCATAACTACACCTTGTGATAGGTTTAGGGTTTTTTAGTTATTCATGGTATAGAATAGATGCTACAGGCTTGTTAGTGATTTTGGTCCTGTCTTACCCCATCTGACTATAACTTAGATCGGCGGGGTAACTTAGACCACTTTTCGTTTTTTTAACAAAAACCCCCAAAACTCAAAGACTATTTGACATAGAAAAATTTTGTCAATGGGCATTAAAGGCCTAATACTGAGGCTACATAACACAATAGAAAGATTTAGAAAGTTTGCATATCTAATAGGTTAAAAAATTAAAAATGTGACCCACGAAAAAAAGCTATTATTTAAAGCCTGTCAGAGTACCCCCTTCAATTTTTTTATTTTTTGGCTAAATAACTCCAGGTTTTGATGCATTGTAGTAGAACTCTTCTAGTTACATATGCAAATGCCAAATTTTAGGAAAGTGTCATAGTTTGTAAATGGGGGGCGCCACCCCCAAATGGGGTAACTTAGATATCAGCCCTGACGGAGTAACATAGACCGGCTTGGAAGTTAATATAAAATTACCATATAAAATATTTTATGTTTGACAGCCTATTTATGTTTTTTCTTTATGTTTCAGACTCTATAGAGTCTTATATATGGTAATTCTAACTTAATTTCCAAGCCAGTCAATATTACCCCATCAGGGCTGCCATTAGGTAGTCACATTTCCCTCATTATGGGGCGGCGCCCCCCATTTGCAAACTATGACACTTTCCTCAAGTTTGTCATTTGCATCCGTAACTAGAAGAGTTCTACTACAATGCACCAAAACCTGGAGTTATTTTACCAAAAAATATGATTTATTCTTTTAATTGATATTTCTTTTTTAATTTTAATTGATAATTTATTTAAATAATTTCTTTAATTGATAAAAGATACCCCAAGAGCTGGGGTAACAAAGACCATCACTTTTTTTTGAGATTACATAAAGACTATGAGAGGCAGGAGCCAGCAATTTATGGTGAGTGAAGCTAGAGTATAGACCTGTATTATGCATGTTTCAATTCAAGTTTTATTTAGCTAGTAAAAAAATGGCATCATTTATAAAAAAAAGTGGTGTAAGTTACCCCATTTTACGGTACTTCATGAAGAACGTTTAAATAATTAAACAAACAATCAATGAAAATATAGATGGTGATAATAAATAATTTCTGGCAAGAGCGTGTGAGAGTCGAATAAAAAAAAAGTTTACAAGTTCTTCTAGAATCTTTCAAGATATAGGCATTCCTTGCACAGTTATCATGGCTTCTGAAACTGCTTATGAATATAACTATATTTTGAGGTCCTTACATGCCCGAAATATTCCATGTCTAACAAATTGTACAACGTTATTTCACTTTAGAAATAAATATTTCAGAGGAACGAGGCATTGCAGATCCCGGCCTCACCAGGCACGTACTTTAAGAATGTGACCGCTACTGTCATAATTTTGATGCCCCTTATAAGCCAGAAAATTTTCAAGTGGTAACAAGGAATCTTCTCACTAAATATAATGTTAAAAATAAATATAGCAGAGGAAGGAAGGATTGCATCGCAGCTCTCAGCCTCACCATGCACGTGTTTTATGAGTGTGACCGCGACCGTCGACGAGTGATGGGACTTTCGCTGCGGCGTCGGTAGTCATCGTAGCGAGGAGAGCCACGCTTGGCATACCTATCAACAAAATAATTGTAAAATATATTATAATTAAACACCCTTGGCTTTGTGATAGATAATATTAGGCACAATCAGACTCTTTGTCATCTTGAAATAATTAAATTCGAATTATGTACTTTCGATATGTTTTCTATAGTAAGAAAAATGCAGGAAATTCTAACTCTTAGCAACAGAAAAAAGTCAGGTTCTCACAAGAATAAGTTTGGTTTTAACATTACGATAAGAAAACATATTTACTCATAATTCTGCTTCGTTACACACCTGGGAGATCGAGATCGCGATCGGCGAGGAGACCTGGAGCGAGAGCGTGCGGAGCGTCGCGGGCTGCGCGACCTGGCGAAACGAGTGTATTAACAAACTAAATTTAGACAACATTCAAATATATAGCTAATAATGACAAAAAAATATTGTCCCGCTGAAAATGATCACTAAGCATGAGGAGAATGACACCCGTCTGAAACTCAAGAACATCGGAAGGATTATTCAATTTATTAATTCCAATCCAACAAGGTTTCCAAAACCTTAGCTGTCAACTAGCAAGCTTGTTATTACCACAATTTATTCCAAGCATAACACCAACACATGACCCATGAATTCAAGACGACATAAAGACTGCAATGTGGAATCGAAAGAAATTCTATTAAGTATATGTACAATTATCATGAATGACTTTCCTTAGCAGGTATAGTGGTTTCCACTTTCCAGGTTTATCAAACGTGAAACTTTTCAAGGATATTAGTATTATTCGTTTATAACTTACTAATTAATCCCTTTAGGAACCCTTTACTATCCCTTTAGGAACCCTTTAGTAACTCACTACCCGAAAGCTTCTAAAAATATTTTTATTCTTAATTTATTGAATTTCTACCATATTGAGAGTGAAGCTATCAACAAAGTAAGCAAAACAAATGTCTATACTTTGGGAAGGTTTCGACCAACACAAGACTCATAAAACGACCATCTTTCGTCGGAATATTGATCGAACTCCATCTCCATTTTAATGGACGGTGTCAAATGACAAGCGCCCAAAAATTCTTTGTTCTCATCAAATGACAGGAACAAAGAAAGTAGTGGCAAAGGAGCGAAGACATTCGTACAAGAGGACGCTTGCACAAGATGTCTGGTAATCACATTAAATAGAAAAGAGTTGAAGGAATCCTGCCAGCGAAACGGCCCAGCCCCACCAGTGAAAGTCAGACACAGCAAGCTCGGTGGCGCGGCGCTCAGGAACAATGCCCCTATGATAATCATTTAGTTAAGTCTTCGTATCATGAGCTACACACCAAGCGTTGGGATTTGCATGTTAAATCAGCATAAAGAACTTACGTTTGAGGAAAATTTGTTCTAATCAAGATAGGAGAAAATCTTTTTCTCTATTCGTTAAAGTCTTGAAAAAAAAAACACGATAAAAATAATTATTCATTCAACAAAACTGCTCAAATATTCAAGAGGATTGAGCCGAAAATATATCCATTCAACATGACTGCATACAATACCACCAGCAAACTTTGATATCATTGAAAAAGAATTGAAGTGAACTTGTTGAGCATTTAAAACTACTAGCTCATTGGATATAAACATTCATCAAGAATACAATTCTTCACTTGACAAAGAAGAATACATTTTTTGCCAAAGTGCATGTTTCAAGTCGGTAATTTATTCCAAGTGATTCGAAAGAAGACCTGAGTGAATGGTTTGACTACTGCAAATACTAAAAAATGCCAACATACTACTATAAAGATAAAAGTTTTACAAAAAAAATCATCAACTCCAAACATGTCACCTCTAATATGGGACAAGAAACAAAACACAAAAAAATCAATGATTGACCATTTCCGAGAAATATGAATGTACAAATCGGGCCATAAAAATCAGACCATGACGACCATCGCTCCACGGTATGACGAGTACCGTTACAGAGAAGGTGGTGGAGGAGGGGTGGAGGAGACGCGATGTTGAATAACCGATGGGAGGTGGTGAGACAAGGTGGAAGTGTTGGTGGTGGAGGTGATGGTGGTGTGGAGCAGTGGTAGTTTGGAGGGTTGAGTGGTGGTGATGAAGAAGAGCGGCACGCTGCCTGTAGATTGTAGGCAGGGCTGAGGTCTCCAGCTGTGGGGCAGCAGCTAAGCAGTACGCCTTGCTTCAATGGACTCAGGGGCACCACACAACGTGTGCATTTTAACTAGTCTGATGCACACACGTTTCGTATGAGATAAGCACACGTGATTTTTTATAGAGATATTGAGTGGCATTACTCCAGGAGGTTATTTCCTCTGATAAGAATCAGCAAGCCAGGTCTTTGATAGAATGGCGCAGGAATACTATGAGAGGATTAAGACACAACTAAAATTTGTCAATTGAAAAGAGAATCTTATTTGCTTGTTATGAATGTTGAACAGCAATAATGGGACAGGATCAGCCTTGGCCCAGCCCTTTGTCATATGACAGAACTGGCATCTATTTGGCAAGTGACGTGTGTTCAGAGGAGTGCTTGCTCAAGTGACTGAGGTGCCCCTGGTCCTGTGCTGAGGTAGAAGATGCCTGTAGGAGCTTCGTGTGAAGGTAGTGATGATGAAGTGGTGGTAGCAACAGGAGTAGGAGTAGAAGTGGTGATGGGCAAGAAGAAGGTTATTCCTGCAATAGGTCACACATAATTAATATGAACCTAACCTTACTTATGGGAGTATATACTTGAATAAATATTTAAATTCAGATGGTGTTCATGTAATTCATATGCTTTAGTGCATCACTTACTTGGTAAATCTTGAAGTTGACAGCAGTTACAGTACAAACCTATTGCACAAACACTCATATTTAGATCACAGATCAAATCAAGAATCTAAATCACTTCTAAATTGAAAATTCAATGAGATTAATCGTGTGTGTGGAAATGGAATTGGACCATTACAATGCTTAGCCCAATTTGCAGGCTACCAAAGCAGCTACCACTTCTCAACTCTAGCTCATTCATCAATCTCATGTTCATTCATCAGTCTCGTGTTCATTGTCATGTTCAGCTATGAAGGTTTTCAGAAGTAAGCTTGCCATAGCAAGGTTGTATAATGAGTATTATCTACGAATTTAATTTACTTCATATTACTCTTACTTCAACTTCTTCCAAACCAGCTTCCCATCTCTTCTATAATCCAAAGCACAATTTCAAAAGGACAAAATTACCTAGTAGAATAGATTTCTATGTGTATGGTGAAAATTGAAACAAAAATAAACTAAAAATGAAATAAAAGATAATAAATACAACATAAAAGCTGCATTATGTGAAGCAGACATACCGGTACATAAATTCAATCAATACTAATTATGGGAAATTTTAAAAATGACTAAAATTTAAATATTTATCACATCACAAAGGCACCTCTAAAGCACTGCATCTTAGCAATACTTCATTCATACATTTATTATAATTCCAACCTGGATCTTCTCCGGCGGGGAGGAGAGGGGTAACGATCGCGCTTGGAACGTCCTGTTGACATCTCCACCCTGACTCGAGCATTGCAGATCCGCCTACAAAAATAGATTCCCTGAATTCAATCATCAAAATAATCATTTAGAAGTCTCCTTTTTAGAATAATTATAGAATTAATCAATTGATTACATATGGAATGATGTTTTACATATTTAAAATGAACATGGCATGATTTGATGCCAATAATACTAATTTAGGAAAAACAAAATGTAGTTAACAAGGATGAAGCACAAAGAAATTATATGTACTCACGATCCATCAAGGGCCTTGGTAGCATCTTCAGCATCTCTGGGGTCTTCAAATTCTACAAAAGCAAATCCAGGTGGGTTGCGTGCAACCCAAACATTCACAAGAGGGCCATATTTGCTGAAGGCTGCTTCCAGCTCATGTTTGGCTGCATTGTTCCCTAAATTTCCAACATACACTTTGCAGTCCATTCGCATTTTAGCAATTTACTTGATGGAGCAAAAGTTAAAATGCCAAACACAAGTAAAGCACCCAACACAGGTGGAATTTGTGAACAACTTCACTGTGCATAAAAATGATAAAATAAAACAAATTAGGCAAAATATGCTTGTGAAACACTTTCATACAGGTGAAGAAGCCCAATTGACATGAAAAATATTGCAACTTCTTTTAAATTTGGCTACTGTTATAACATATATACTCTCAAGCTATATTTACTCAAGTCTTAATCCAAGTCTCAACATGTGAAAAAAAGTCCATATTACCTGAGAGCATGAAAAAATTCTAAAAAATTGTTTGTAATTTAAATCCACCAGGATGGCCGCAGCACTCCAGCGCTACTCACTTGAGGAGTGTGGGGTGCAATTTGCAGGCCCTTTAAGACTGCTATTTGTTAAGGATGGGACACTTGTTTGCTATTGCTAAAGGAATGGGAGTTATTTGGGTGCTGGAGAGCTGTAATGCACTCATCCAGGCCATCCTGCTCCAATTGAAGCAGGATCTAAAGAGAGGGGGAGTTCACCCTGGAGACCTTCAAGAGACAACTAGACATAAGTATAAGGACAAGCCGACAAGGCAATGAGTGCGCTGCCGCTGCTGACCCGCATGTCTTGCTACTAATATTGGAATAAGCAAGCTCCCATTTTTGCATTTTTGCCACCACACTCCTCAATTATAAATTGTTTATTTGGGGTCAGACTGTTCATGCCAGGTTTAGTCTGTTGCAAATGCAATGGGCTGTGGGTTGGGTTAGAAAGCTGGAGCGACGGCCAAAGGCAAGCAGCTTGAGACCAAGATGGAGAGGCGGACCACTAAAAGTACCTCCCTTGAGAGAATTCTACAATGCTAGATTTTCTTACTTGTGTATGAAATCTTGCAGCCCCATATTAACCAATTTTTGATAGATTTACAATCTCACAGCCAGCCAGACAGTGCAATTTTTACCGATTACGTAGGAGATAAATAACCTAGCAGCAAATTGGCAATCATGCAGTCCAAAAATTGTGGAAAGCTTAGTCATGGCTCATAGGGTTAGGGTAGATATATATTTCATGCCAGTTTCTATGTCCCATTCCCAATTTATTCAATAAGAGGAAAAAAAATTGCCCATTTTACAACACTTCTTTAAGTTCTCTTTAACTTCACTTCTTGTTTGTTTATTTGTCTGTCTGCTACAAATCTTTTAATCAAAATTAAACACACTTCTACTTATCCTATTGATCTGAAATTTTGCACACTAGCGTAAAGTTGGAGACAATGCATGAATCAAATGACAAAATAGATGATTTAAAAAAAATTTTTTTTTTATATTAAAAAAATTGAAAAAATAATTTTGTCAGCTACAAATCTTATAACTGATATTTGACACACTTTTACCTGTCCAATTGACCTGAAATTTTTCACACTTATGTGAGGTCAGAGGCAATGCATGAATCAATTGAAAGAATAAATAATTTTGAAAAAATTTTATTATTGAAAATAGGGTAAACGCGGTATATTCCGACATCGTGGGTAATTCTGTCACCTCTCTAGTTTTTCCTTTATATTAAGCTTTGTTTTAGTTCCATGCGTTTGTTGATGGTTGAAATGGTGACGTCATACATTTGCGCGTCAAACTACTGCCAAAACACTAGGTCTTGGCCATCTAGCGGGAAAATATTGAGATCCAAAGAGAGACAATGCACGCTACCCAGTGAGATCATCGAAAAATGTGTCAAATTCGACAGTTGACCTTGCTCTACCAAATAGTGAATAACTGTTTGTTTAGGAAGAATATTATGGTTTGAGACTTTTAAATACGTCTGTGAATATATTAGGAATCCTTTAAGTATACTTGTATTCGCTGATTTCAAGTGGTAAATAAATTAATATATGATTAAGTTGAGAAATGGATTTAGACACATGAATACTAATTCTGTCACAACTTGAATTGGACACACACAGATCATTCCAAGCTGTGTACACAAATTAAAATTTGCCTAATTAAAAGCTTAATAGCTGTTAATTAAAAGCGTTATTAAGTAGTGTTCAATATTCATTAGTGTTCTAATTCAAAGCCGTGTTGTATTCCAATACAGCTCACACAGCAAACGGAATTTGAATACGTGGATGACGGCATTACGTATCAGTAGAATTTGAAGCGCGGACGGAATATGCCTTACCATGTGCCGAATATTGCCACACACAGTGACGGAATATAGGGATTTGGTAGGTTTGCATTCTAAAGACTTTTAAATAAATATGGCAACATTTTATGACGTTTCGTTGTTGCTGACACGTAGTGCAGTGCTAGTATGGAATATATCTACTTGGCGAACCGCGACTGAATTTTTCGAGCAGTGGTTTTATGGATTTGCCAGCCGTGATTCCATTTCTACAAGCCGTGATCGGTGATTCTATTTCACCGAGCCGTGAATTCCATATCTCGGCCATGAAAAGTCATTTACGAGGTGCGAATGCAAATTTATTTACAAAGTTTATGCACGTGTAACCCCAAATCTCTAATTTTACCCTTAAACAGTCAAACGGCAACGATAAAATTTGTCTCTACTGTAAGTTCAGCACGTGTTAATATACAGTCTGACCGCTTTGACATGACTGCAACTATGCGCGATCTTCAACAAACGTTTTGTTTATTTGTTTACATTATGATGTTTATGTTTTATCTGCAAGATATTTTTGGCGGAAACGGTAAAACAATGCGGATTGCGGAAGTTGAAAATTTCATGAAATGACATGTTTGCGAAGTGCAAACCGCGATTTTTTAATCAAACAAAAATTTATGACATTCGAGCCGCGAGATTTCATACCTACTGAAATTATATGATATTAGAGCCGCGATATTTCAGACAAAAATAGGACTTTTCCAGACTAGGTGCAGTGTTTTGAGAGTCACATAAAGCAAACAGAACTTGAGTAACGCATACGGTTATTTTTTATGGTTTTTCATTTCTCGATGTGTCCTTAATGTGACAGAATATACTACGTTTACCCTAAATTGAAAAATTAATTTTTTAATATTCGAATATAAAATTAGAAATTCATTGTCCATCTGTAACATTGGAAATGCTGGATTTTTTCAGAAGTCTTGTCTTTAAAATGTAATTTTTAAACCTATATTACAACAAAATTTGTGCGATATCAGTATCACCAGTAAAAAGATTGGTGATTGATTTATCCACAATTTAAGGAAAATTTGAGCAGTTAGCCTATTCCATATTATTGGATGGCATTAAAGCTAAGAAGCTTCATATTTTTGCAAAAAAAATTAATCTGATTCAGGAATTAGGAGACCAAATGCCCTTTGAAAGTTTAAATAGGTACTTTGAATGGTGAAGCATGAAGGCCCAAGCCTTAACGTTTAAATTGAAGTTGAAGTGAGGTAGCCTACGGACACGGTGCCTACCTAAGAATTTTCAGAACTTGTTGAGTAGAAGAAATTGAAAATGTTTAAAGGTAGAAGCAGTTTCATCTTACTAGCCTAGGGTAGGTACTAGGTAGTGTGGTGTTTAGAGAGTGACATAAAGCAATCAGAACTCAAGTTGCGCATAGGGTGATATTCTTATAGCTAGCCATTCATTTCTTGCTAGCCTACGTCCTTAATCATTAATGTGTCGGAATATAGGTACCTCGTTTCCCTATTTACATGTGGCTTCTGAGTTCTGCCAAGCAGCCAATTTGTTTGTTCAGGATGGGTCAAGCACCACTGGAGTGACTGGACCACCCAAGCCTAAGGTAAGGTTGACCAAACATAATTATAAATAATTTTTAACTAGGTAATATCAATAATGAAGCGCCGAAGCGGGTAGCGGGTAAATCCTAAAAAAAATGTTTTCTATAAATCAGCATTCAGTAACCCAATTGCCACTGCATTTTCAACTATAAAACAGTAAAAAATCATAAAAATACATTATTGTTATTCATTTAATTATTATAAAAGTCATACATAATCAACTCCAAATGTTACAGGGGTTGGGAACTTGGGTTAATATATCAGCCTTCTAGTTGTTGTCGAGACTCGAGCCGTTCGCGCAAGTAAGTTAAAAATTGGCAGTATATATACAAAATATACACTGATAAAAGGTAAAAATTCACCTATTTCTTATATATACAATACCGCAACACATGAATGAATAACAGTGAGTCGTAACATTGGGCTACAAATATAGTTAATCGTTAACGTCACAACAAAATGGCCACCGTGTGCTAACAATTTAGTAACAAAGACATAAAAATAACCCTAGGAAGCAGTGAAAATACCCTATGTTCATTAAAGGTATTCAAGCTTTCTATACCAATCGACAACAAACTGATAATTACAGTGATAAATAAGTTTTGTTGCCGATATTGCTGAACCAGCTACCTTCAAACGTATTCGATATGAAAATCTGGCATTCCCTGTATTATGGAAATAGATAATGAATTTGATTACATAATTCAATGAGATTAGTACGGAACTAAGGAATCCGGTTCTATATAAACATTTGATGGCTGCAAAAGTAGGCTTTTGCAGCCATCAAGATTGTAAATTAGGTTTATTTTATGAGCGACTCGGACAGGACCGTAAATTTTATTTTCAAATAAGCACTTGGTCCAGCCTCAGCATGCATTAACTACGCTCATCAGAGTTAACAGCCAGAGATCACACTGGAATATCGTTAACCATGCCAGTTCTGCAGTCATCAAACTCAATAGCACCGTAATTCCACAGCCAATGCTAAAAGACACTCGCTCATAACGTTAGTAGATGAGAACCATTGCACAACGGCACATGTGGTATAGAGATGCAAAGACACTTCACGAGAATGGCACAGACGGGATGAAATTAACGGTTTAAATAATTACAAATGACAATGCTACTGGTGGTGCAGCTAATAAAGAACTAAATGCAGTCATCAGGATATTCTTAGGAGTTTGGTAAGAACGTTTAATTGATAAGCAAGGCAGGCGCTAAGACCTAACGTCACAATAACATCAATAACTGGAAGCAGCCAGTGAAGTTTATAACACTCAAATAATATATATCAATATTCAGAGATAAATCAAACAGGCTGGAATAATATCGATTCAAGGCGAGTATTAATCTTGCCGATGATGAGTATCTCGAAAAAGTTTGTATTGCCGGTCTTTCATTTTTTATAGAATTTTTTGTTTTAAATTAAGATAATTTGGCTTTAACCCGGAACTATGATTAAATTGTGGTATAAAATAAGAAAAGTTTATAATGCGAATAAAACTTAGGAATGCCACCCTTCCGTCAAACCTGAATTCTTCGCAAATGTAAACGACCCACGGCCGACTTTCTCTAAGTTCAAGTGCATCAATTTTGATACCTTTTATTAAAACCATATCTCAATTTAATTAATTTCGATAATATACAATCAATATGTACAAGAATTGCACATATTCGACGATTGTACTTGCAGAATAAAAACATTTAGCTTAATGTGGATGCTTTTTAGCACACTAAATTTGAAATACTTTTTTCATTCTAATTCGTAGAGGAATAATGGCATCGAAAGAAACATTATAGCAGCTTATAAAATGGCTCCGTGACACCCCACCGGCAAATGCGAAACCATGAAGAAATATATGGTGAGATCGCCGCAAGGTCAACCGTGCCAGCGGGGATTGACGCAGGATATATAGACGACTTACGAAGCCTGTTAGGTACCACTGCAGGCTTCACAGTCACTGCACTCGCACTGCAGTCTTCATAGTCACTGCAGTCGCACTGCAGCAACTCTGTTTAGGTCCTGCCTCTCCCAGCAACTCTGTCTTCACAGTCACTGCACGCGCACCGCAGGCTACACAGCCACTGCATCGCACTGCAGTCTTCATAGTCACTGCACTCACACTGCAGGCTTCACCGTCACTGCACTCGCACTGCAGGCTTCACAGTCACTGCACTCGCACTGCAGGCTTCACAGTCACTGCACTCGCACTGCAGGCTTCACAGTCACTGCACTTGCACTGCAGGCTTCACAGTCACTGCACTCGTACTACCGACCAGCCACTAGGTCATACATACCATCGGTGATTTGTGCTGTGATTTTTTTCTCTATGAGGAACAAAAATTAAACAGTTTTGATAAAAGGTAAAAAGAATTTTTTGCAATTTTTATAAAGAGGGCGGTGAGTGAGTAAGAATTTTTATGAAAGGCAAAAGAACCGAACCAAATTTGTTTACTGTCCAAAACTTTATCGTAGTCACGTCGCAAATTATGCCGGACATTGAGGACATAAAGCAAAAAGAACACAAATTCTTTGCCTTCACCTAATGAACATTATTTTTATGAGCAAATACAATCCGTAAAATTTTGCATTGCAGAAACATTGGTTGGGTTGAAAAATATATCGCATATTGCATGACGCATTATTCAGGAAAAAGCTTTATTACATCGAATACAAATTCAAAGTTAGGAAAAAAGTGAATAATGAAGACGGCGTCGTTTGAACACGTGAGTACATGAATAATGTATAGCTAATAATATCTTACTTCATTTATAACAAATTTAGATCGCAGGATTAGCACGTTTTTGCAAACAAATGAAGCTGGTTATCAATGTCCAATTTGCTCGCTGGATCGACCAAATTATAGTTGATACTCAAGGTAAAATGCTCTGCTGAAACTCGTAAAGAATATACTTTAATTTAATTTAAATTAGTAATAATCAATCATAAACAATAATAAATTAAATTATTTGATAATTTAATCTCCTCTTTATAATTTCTAGATGATTTTTGATGCTTTTCAACCGTCATCGCACAGGATCGCGATGACGAGGCTGAATGAATTCTAGTGACCCCGTAATAGCGCGACCGTTTGTGGGCGTGTGGCGGAGCCAGGAGATTATGTAACGAAATTAAGAATATTTCATGCCGCACGAATGTATTTTTCGGAACTCAAGGGCATTAGGAACGAACTATGAATGTTATTACGGAAAGCGTTATTATCTCACGGTGATGACTGATAAGAAATTTGTACATAAAAATTTTATATGTACCACGAGGAACTTGCCCTAAATATGAACACGAAATAAAAATATAAATCTTAAATATGAGGCCTTGTACAAATACAATTATTCCATATAAGGTACAATTGTCTGATCTTGAATATGGAAAACAATACGAAAAAAATAAAACTCGTACGAATGCTGATATGAATTGCGAATGCATTTTACGACGTACTATGTAATACCCGATGAAAAGTCTATTGATATTACACGATAAGAACTAATGGCGATGCACGATGCTACACGAAATGCCTACACCGTATAGGATGTAGGTATATTTGTAATGATATTCGAATACATTTTTTTTAAAGAACGTGCTTATGAGCTCGCTCTGAAGTTCGATTCATCATTCACGGAACATGAACAGTGAAGACGGAGTAATACGTAGACAAAAGGTTAATGTTTTCGCAGTCATTTTCAGGGAGCTTCAGATTTCCAATAAAGTGGTTCACTGCCATTCATTTTTCATAGCGTTTCGTAACCTTTTGATGATAAAATGATAACTGGCAGGAATAAAATTGTCTCTTGAATATTCAATAATTCTAGTCTGTGATACAGCAATAAAATGAAACGAGTAACCATGCAGTACCCCGAGGTGTAAGACCATTTTCATTTGTGTTGGTTCAGGTGCTGGAGCAGGTGGGTTCACAAGGACGTCACCAGAAGCTGTTGATTTGGCTGTATGTGCTGCCACTTAATTTCTTCATCCCCTGGATGGTACTCACTCCGATCTTCCTGTCATCCACACCCGCTTACCACTGCGCTCCTCCACCTCATGATGCCGAGCCACCCTTCGGTGATCACGTCTCCAGGGCTTCCATCACACACCTCAACTCCTCGGCTGGTGATAACTTCACCGAGGAGGTCTGGTGGTCCGTAGCCATACCAAAGTAAGTGAATCATCGATCATAAAACAAGAATCAAGTAATATCATTGGTAATTGACCAAACATATAAATGTTTATTCATTTTGAACTATGGGCAACTTCCGGCCGCGGCACCACTTCATCATGAAGGTCCATTGACGATGAAAAAATTATTCCTTCTGGAGCTGTCTGTCCTGCATGCATTAAGCGGAATAAGTATGGGACTCGCTCAAGTAATTTTTTTTATCTTTCGCGCAGTGAATAAATTTCCTGACTCCTGATACCAGCGAACAAAATTATCGGTCAAAGTGAATATTTTGATAATTTTTTTAACGCGTTATTCAGCGTTGTTCCAAATTTTACAAAATATTGTTTATTTAAAAAAATGCAAGTCAATGTCGGTGATTTACTAAATTTCATTTAAAAAGATAACAAAACGATTCCAGTCTTGTCAATTACAATAACTGAATGAGATACCTAAATATTCAATTAAAGCACAACAATTTTTACGCGTGATTCAGCGTTGTTCGAAATTTTACACAATATTAAAAAAAATTGCTAGTCAATGTCGGTGATTTACTAAATATCCTTTAAAAAGATAACAAAACTACTCCAGTCTCGTCAATTACAATAATTGAACTCGATACATAAATATTCAATTGAAATGCAACAATATTTATCCATTAATTTGCATTAAATTATTTTCCTTCTTAATTCCGATCCACATCCTATATGCATAACATCGCACACGCACTCCGCACCTCAGAAAAATGTGCTTTTTAACAACCATGATATGTACTATAGAGGCTTACAACCTATTGTAAAAAGCAAGAATAAATTGTACAACATGGATTGATGCCTAAAATTGAATGAAGAAACTGAAACCTGCCCCGGGCATTATACGCATTGCTCCGTAAAAATGAGTTAATATCACTAATGCGTTTTCTTGAACTATAAATACGAGAAGTAGATGAACGAATCAATTAATATGCGTTTAACATAAATAGATGTGCATTCATTAGCGCTTTTCATGACAATGATTAATAAGCATTGTAAAACTGCCGAATACAATCTTCCAATTAATTGATAGTTCCAGCCCCTACTATCACAACTCCAGCCAACGGTGTTGGCAGTAAATGATCTGAAGTGCTTAGCAAGCACCGGTCATATAATATAATGCAAAGGTGAACTGCATGTTACCTAATAAACCACAGAGTTTGATATCAACGTTGAAAGCTCAACGACCGCTATAAATGTGCCAACTTTAAAATGGTAAAGACGAGCGCGTATGTGAATTGATGTACAGGGGAAATGTGAATTCGCGTTAGTGAACATAGTGTTGCAGAATTTTCAATTTGAGCACATTGAATGTGTAAATTAATTACAGGCGAGCATGCTAATTTAACAGTTAACTTACTCTATAGACTAATATCCTAAATGTGAAAACTAAATACACGTCTGTGGAATGCACGTGACTAATGAACAAGTGTTAAATGTAAATACAAGAAAAAGTCAGTACATAGAACATCATAATCATATAACATAAATTTGAGAGCAGTGATTTCACAGCCACTACATTTTCAATGCCTTGAAACTTCGTGCTATAACAGATTACCATGAAAGAACATCGCGATCCAATAAAAAGACGGCTTCACAAAAGACCTCTTGTTGTTAAGCTGCTTAACACGGAAGAAATAATGTACGGCTTCATTGGGGGCATTCACTGATGATATGCGAACATAGGCTGTCAGAATTGAGCTCAGCTCTTCACTCACGTTACTCGTAACCTTGACCATCGCATATTCTGGGAAGTGTTCATACGTACGTAAAATTCAGTCTGGAATATTCTGTCAAGCTTCGGGCGAGTAAAAATGCATAAAAACCAACAGAAAAATAGATATGCATTAAGAAGTTTTGATACGGTTCACAAAAGTTTTTGGTTTGGAAAGGCCAGAGAATAACTATTAGAAACAATTTCTAAATGTTTATATCAATATTGCGAATTTAATATTTTGATTGGATTTGAAAGTTCGAAAAATGAAGTTTCCAAGAGATATTTTTATTATAACGATACCGCGATTCAAATAAACCTTATTCATTGTGAAGTGAACTAAATGTTTTGCAAAGTAATAAGTTTATATTTGGGAATTGCGCTCCCGTAATCTTTGGAAATAGTGGATTCAATTCGAAAATCAAAACTCAAAATCACTCAAAGAAAATTATTTCAAGTCCGGTGGTTTATAAATGATAACTGGAGGCTCATCCATGCTGATGGGGGCCTCGGCTATCGCCAGACTTGATATACGCCATGTGCTCGCCATGTCCGTCTGTCTGTCCGTGACTCCACGTTTTCGTCGACGAGAAAATGCGCGCTCTGTCACTCACTGCAGTGAGTACTGAGTTATATTTTTTCTTCCTTGTAACCGCTGTTCATCTGATTTTGGTCGTAGATTGGCGTTATCCGAAAGTTTCGTCGTCCGTTCTGTTTTTATGCGATCGATAACTGGAAATTTTGGGACGACGTAACCCATTGTTTACCATAATTATTTGCATATTAAGAGTACGTTTTTTTTTATTTACGCAAGATTTAGGAAATGATAATAGCTATCTAATAATGAGAATAGTACTTTCTGACCCGCAACAACACTTGCATTAAAGAATTTGGAAGTCTGTATGATTTAGACTACAAGCGATAAATTCGTCACAAATTTAACTGCTGCCGAAAAGATTGAGAAAAGTCACAAACAATAACGGCATTTTGAGCGGAATCATGACGAAATGCTGATGCGAGATGGTTCAGCTGGGATTCACAACGTTACGAATACAAACATTAAACTGAATAAGTTAATCGCGAAATCCCACATTAGCCACTTTAATCAAATATTACCATCAAATTGTTTGTCTGTGAGGCTACATAAAGCCGCATCGCGTAACACGTCCGTTTCGAATAATATTCTGACAGCAAACCTTTATTCCTGATTTAATTGATTTTTTAAATCCAGGATGCGCTCGGCTCACACGACTCAGTCACACCAATGATGCCAATGTTAAATTGTTACGCAATTTGATTTCCCTTGAAGCGCTTGATCGAATTGGTCCACTCGCTGGCATAAGAGAGCGACCTTCAATTGTTGGTGTCACGAAGTGAAACGTCACAAAAATCGGCTAAAATGTCAGGTGAAACTGCGATGTCACCAATGTTCTATTACCAACCAAAAAGGCTTGGGCAACGCGGCGGTGGCGGGGCGACAGCTAGTCGAGTAGAAAGTTCACGTCCGCTGCCTACGGTGACGAGGCTCACCTCTATACTATTAGGGCTTTTTAATTGTTTTCACTTTTGCACAAACATGGTACAGGGCTTGACCCATGAACATATAGAATTTTATACGATAACAGCAGGCTTAAACGACGCTGCCCGGATTTAATATCCCTGCAATATCCCGAATACCGTTACCCCGAATACCTTTACCTCGAATACCTTCACCTCGAATTCAGTAAACATTTCCGTAAATAAATACAACAAATAAAAAATGTCCCAATAATATACAATTTGCATCAATCAATAAATTAATGAAAACAATTGAAAAGAAATGAATGTTTAAATAAAAAATAAATAAAAGCATGAAAACTCGGTTTCATCTTGGACAAAATCAATTTCAATATAAAACTCAAGTTTCTGTCGGTTATATTCGCATTTTATTTTTAAATCTAGCTCTCTTCTTTACTTTCAATATCTCATGATTTGAAAAAAATAAAATTTTAATCGAACGTAATATACCGTCATTCCGAGTATAGTACAGACACGCCCGATCACCCTCTACATATTTGCGGTGTCAGGCTGCAATTCAAACACACAAACTTTGAAAAAAAAATAAATATATATTTGTGATAATTCGCTCCACACTATTTTTCAGCTATTAAAATTTGCAAATACTTTTCTAAATGAAAAGCGATATAATTTTTATTCTTCTACATACTCGACTTTCATCGGGTGGGCTGATAAAAAATATAAAGTGAGGCAATTCCACATTTGACATGTGCGCATCCTTCACTTCGATGACTCATATATAGTTACTGAGATGTGGAACGCAACAGAGGCGTGTGCTACACATGCTTATGTGCCTCTCATGGTAGCATGACAAGGACTTTTTGAAGTAAAACTCCGCTCTCTCGACACCAAATACAAAACAAGACGGGGAAAAGGGATCGCGTGCTGAAATTATAATCATTGTTGTTGAATTGCATTTAATAAATTTTAAAATGAATAAGAGCTTGATAAATAAATCAACATCAATGGAAAAGTTACTGAATTTGAAATTTTACAAGCAATTACTGTGTATCTTGCTAAGCAATGGGAAGTATTGAAAGAACGCCAACACGATTGATACAACACGCTAATTTAGATATTTGTGTCTGAAATTTGTTCACAAATATTGTGAACAAATACGTTCTGATATTTGTGAAAGATATTAGCAGCAAGTGCTCCAAAAACGCCATATGGAAATTCTGATTAAAAGATTAAAAATTTAGATAAGATTCGCATAACTTGGCTTCATGTGCAAAAAGTATGTTGATTATAAAAATTTATAAACTTAAAGCTTCGGATCATCGAATCTTTATTTTGTAGTAAGAGAGGAATGAGAAATATGTATTATTTATTAACGATGAATAATGTGTAGCAAGTTTCAATAACGCACAGTAGTAGCTGGTGCTTTTCATCACCACAGTAACGGAATTTGCCCAATACTAGAATAATCTGATTGTGGATATCCAGCTATCGTCAACTGATATAAATCACAGTTCACGACGGCTTAAAAGAAGTACCGAGGGTCTTACAGGGTCTTTCAATATTTGAAAGCCAAATTTCATGCACATTAATGCTTGCGTCATGGATTAGGCAACTTTTAGTTCATTTTGCACCTTTAAAAGCCGTTAGCAATGGTTCGGGAAAAGTAGAGTAATCGAGTCGAAAACATTTTTAGTACAGAGAGTTGCGAATAAGATCATTAGTTAGTAAGAGATAAGTAAGAGCAGCAGATATTGCAGGCGCACGATGAATTAGTTTGATTGATGCATTTATTTCCAAAAAAAAATCTTTTCAGCACAAAAAATTAAGAAAGTTCATGCCTTACTTGGTACACATTATTACCTAACTATTTTTTTCGGCGAGACCTAGACACTTTCACATGTGTAAATAGTGCGCTCTGGAAGTGAATTCACTTGTTCTTTAATCTGCAGGGCAGATCTTAAAATTATGTGGTGAGCTCTGACAAATGGCTAAAACTGTCTCAATTATTCAGCGAGTGATTGAAACCTTTTGGGATACATAAATCATAGCGACCTGATGCCCTCATGCATCAGGTCGCTATGATTCCATACGCAACCATTCTGCATTCTACATCTTGCGAAACTCTGCAATTATTTCAAAAAGTTTATTCAAACTTGGCATATTCAATAAATGAGAACAAGGAATTTTTGTGAAATACTCTAACATTGAGTGCAGTGAATATGAATATTTTGATTTCTCTGTACTAATTTTATGACTTATGAAGAGAGAACCTTTACATTGATATAATCCATTCCCTGAAAATGCGAAATCTACAGGGTCCATATAAACCCTGAGTAATTCATTCTTGCTTTTCCAAATTTGGTTTAAGTAATGAATAAGGAAACATAGAATTATTCATAATTAACATCGTGCTACAGAGAAATGCTTTCCAAGTTTTGACTGCCCTTACATTACATAATATAATATCGCGCTCCGTTGAGTATGAAGTGCCATGCAAGCATAGCAAATAGAAGGGCCTGAACGATGGCATCAGTTGCTTTGCTGTATATATGACCTGCTTTGCTGTAAGACATCTTATTTATATATTGCGTTCTGTGAAGGAACATAAGATTAAACGGAATCAATTCGCTTGTGAAAATTTGTACTAAAAAGGTGAGTATCAAAAAAATGTATAATGAATATATATATATATTTTTTTGTATTACCATTTATTAATTTGGCCATGCAAAGCTTTCGCCCTACTGAAGTCGTTGACCTCAACAACGGTGACAAATTGTTATATGACCTCGAAACATTCCGTCACGTCTAACTCGCAAGTTCGCAACTTCCGAACATAATTAATTTGTAAATAATCCATGCGATTTTCATCATAGTCTTTGCTTTCTCCGGGACTCTCTGTTAAATTTTTGTCCTTTTTATGGAACTAATCTTACAAAAACTTTTTGCTAAGCATAGGTACAAGACTGTACATATTTTGATAATATATGACTGGTTTATTGACAGGAAAGATGGGAAGACAGAGCAATGCAGACAGTACAACATGAGTTGGTCCGACATCGCTGGCTTAGCAAGCGTGCCTGCTAACACAAATTTTTCGCTGCACATCAGTGACAACTACGGAATTGTTGGTAAGTAAGAAAAAATATATATTATATTCTCGTATTACATTTTAATCTCGCAGAGAATGCCGGCAAAAGCGAGTTTTCTTTTTCATACTATGATGTTTTCGGTACGAAATATGACTGCCAGCTGTCGAAAGACTGCAAAGCTTGTGTGTAGCTTTGCTGTAAATTCATTAAGTTGATGCAAACAATTCAAGAAAATAACGGATTACATAAACACGTTCACAAAATGTCATAGTGTTTTTCGTAACTAAAGTTCATATTGATGGATCATCGACGTGTGGGAAAGTTAATTCTAAGATAACCTAGCAGGTCAACCAGCGAGGTAGAGTACCATTGCAAAAATTTGAAATCCCATCATCCCAAATTCAGTCAATTATTTTAAGAATAAAATAATTTTATCAAATAAAAAATTATTCTATGTAAATTTAAATTTTAAGCTGAAGGCAACCAATTTTTTTCAAACTAACTAACATAATTCATAAAATAATTGAATTTTATTTTTAATTAACTCATATACCTTCATGTTTTATGATATCGTACAGTTTCATCTCTAAATACAATACCAGGCACGATTAGCACACCTACGCGACCAGTATTGTAAGTATGCGCTCGAATTGCCCCTACGTAATTACAGTGTCAGGCTTCAAACACTGAATAATACAAACACAAATAAATTTAGTAATAACACTGAAAAAATTTCGTGTGTTTAGGAGTGCATTTGAAGCCGAAAACAGATAATAAATAATAGCTGTTAGGCACGTATCTGATGCGAAGGACCGAGTGATGGATGACTCGGCCTTTGTTGTAGACTGTTGCAGCAAGGTACTCAACACATCGATTGATGTTATATCTTGCAAGAGGCTACGCTCGAAGGATATCTATGAACAAGGCACGAAATGGAAAAGAATCGGCGACAGGCCACATCAGGCCTACACTTCAGAGCCGACATCACTATGTTATGTTATGTTATGTTAAAACTTCTCGTGTCAGGATATAATATTGGGATGAAATTTTTTGTTAGGCCTAGTAGTCGAACTATTGCGCACTGCAGAAAGAATAGGGGGATTTGGAATTGGATTTGTATTTTTTCAATTCAGTAGAAATAAATTCTTCTGTAAACATGTATAATAGATTTACTTAAGAATACGAAAAGTAAGTCAAGATGAAATTTTATCCTTAATACGGGTTCCTGAGGATAACGGGATTCCCAGGTATCTGGAGCAACTACCGGTTATGCTGCTCGTACTTGATTACTTGATGAAAAAGTGAGCTCAGAAGTAAACGCAAACCATAACATCATCTATCAATAAATGACAAAAGAAATAATAATCCTAAGAAAATATATATGAACAATGTATATGCTATCGCCGTCTGTCGGAGTATACAGAATAGGATCACAGAATTCTATTATCTGTCAGTGAATGATTACAGAGTAGAACTACTTAAAATAATTCATGAATCTCATCATTGAATATGCAATAGGGGGATTTATAATAGGATTACAGGAGTCTAATATTTCCTAATGAAAACCTCCCACAATGTCAGATTGTCAGCACGGCAAACAGTACGACCAGAGCGACTTCAAGGAAACCCTGCCGATGTCCCTGGGTTGGGTGTGCGACTCTGAGCACTTCACCGCCATGTGGTTGTCCGTGGGTCTCGCTGGCAACGTCATCGGTACACTCGCCTTTACATCACTTGCTGATATGTGAGAAGCGGACAGCAAATCTCATGTTATTACATTAAACTTATTTATTGATTTAAAAATAATTGAATTTACCTTACAACCGGAAGTAGGGTGCAGTGTCAGAGCCACACTTAATACCAAAAGAACAGCTCGAGTGCTTTTTCGCAAAGGATGTAATTATTAGCGACTTGATTTTAACATCCAACGGAGCTCCCAAAATTACCTATGAAGTAGTTAGATAGTCTAAAACATCGCTGATAGCGATTAAAATTCAAACAAGGAGCACATTTCCGGCACAGATTCGGTCGGCGGCCGCTGCTTGCGATCACGTCACTAGTGTGCGCGGTGTTCGGCTGTGCGAAGATCTACGCAACTAGCACCTGGACTGCCATGCTGGCGCAGTTTGTGGCCTCAATGCCCTTTCCAGCTATCCTGGAGCTCTCTCTAATCATCAGTGAGTTGCAGTGACATACAGACTAAATAGTTTAAATTAATGAGAAAAACAGTGATTTATAGAATAATTGAGATTAATTGTTTGACATTGATTAATTGAGTGATCAATGAATATATTTTCATTCACTGCTGAGCACAGCAGTTTACATTGGTCAAAATCGCATATTTAAGCATCAGAAAAATTGACGAAGCTTGGAGCTAGCCTGCAACCCTACATGGTATTGTTTAATTCTTACCTTTTTTATCTACTAAGCATACCACTCTTGCAACAATAAAAGTAAGATTCGCCTCCTCAGAGCTTTTTAAATTTACAGGCATGTGTCAGGAGCTCTTTTGTTTACCTCAAAATTAAATATTTAATAAGCAGAACAATGGATAAACGTTTGGCATCTTCTAAACGAAATAAGTTATGCGGGTCACTTTAAAATGTTACAATACCAATACAGCACTTTATTGTACAAGTTTACGAGCAAGTGTCGGGTGATCAGCGGTCATTCATCACGTCTGCCAGCTTCGTGATGTGGACGCTGGGAAGTTCTCTCCTGCCTCTCGTAGCATGGCTTGCTGGCACATGGCGGCTTTTGTGTCTCATAACGTCGCTACCGTTCTTTCTCTTCGTTGCCGCTTACTGGTAAGACAACACAATTGCAAGCCTTATACTGACAATAGAACACACTCGTGTAATGGGAGAAATAACTTTCGACTGTTCCTCGTCGTAAACAGTGTGCTGCTGTTCAGTAACTTGGCTATTGGGTTTTCGTTAAAAATAAGTTTCCAAGTGATGCAGTCGGTCATTTTTCGTCTGTCATTCAGTTGCTCCGCCATTGTTATCATACTTTTTTGCATTTAATTGGAGCAGAACACAGTGGTTAAAGTTCAGAGTACTACCAAGATTGGCGCAGAGAGTCGCGGGTTCGATCCCAGCTCTGTGCGCCAGTTTCTGGTCAGAATCGGCAAGGAGGCCGGGCGGTTAAGCACAGCAGAATTATAGCAGTGAGTTGTGAGTTCGAGACCGCAAAATGCAGTAAATGTTCTGCGATGTAAAGAATCGGCGACAGGCCTACGGAGGCGGCCTAATAAACGCTGTAACCGGACACCATTATTCAAAAAAAGGTGAAATAAGCTGCCCGGGCAACTATCGCCCTGTCAGTTTGACAAGTGTCGTTTGCAAGGTAATGGAATCTGTTGTGTGGGATCGATTGATAGATCATTTGACTGCTACTAATCTCCTATCAGACTGTCAACATGGCTTTATTGCCGGGAGATCCTGCACCACTAACCTCTTGTCTACTCTGAACGAATGGACCCGCCTGCTGGACGAAAGGGAGCCAGTAGATGCAGTGTACCTCGATTTTGCCAAGGCATTTGACAGTGTCCCACATGAGCGGCTGTTGCGGAAATTGCAGTCTTTGGGAATTGACAGCAATGTACTCAAATGGATCAGAGATTTTCTAGTAGGGAGACGCAAACGTGTCAGTTTTAATGGGTCCGTATCAGACTGGGCTTCAGTGCGAAGCGGCGTGCCACAAGGAAGCATTCTCGGGCCTGTTTTATTCGTTGCGTTTATAAACGATCTGCCAGAAGCTGTGTCTAGCGTTTGCTCGATGTATGCTGACGACACAAAAATTTATAATACAGTGAAGAATACGTCGCAAAAAGTACAGTTACAAAGTGATCTTGACAGGCTGGTTGACTGGGCTGATAAGTGGCAGCTGCGTTTTAACGTTAACAAATATAAAGTAATCCACCTTGGCAAGAATAATGAACAGCAAGATTAAAGTATGAGAAGACACGGTTGCAACGACAAAGTGATGATGTCGAAGTCGACAATGGACAAAGATATAGGAGTTAATATCGACAATGAGTTGAAATTTTCTAAGCATATTGAAGGTCAAGTTAATAAAGCCAATAAACGACTAAGACTGATCAGACGAGTTTCTTTCGAGTTTCTAGATGCAGAAGCGATGAAGCAGTTGTTTGTTGCTGTCGTGCGCCCGAACCTAGAGTTTGGAAACGTGTGTGGTCAACGAAACTTGAAAAGGACAAAAATTTAATGGAGAGTGTTCAAAGACGTGCAACAAGGATAATTCCGGGCTTGAAAGGCAAGTCCTATGAAATGCAGGAGCATATGTTCAGTCTTAAAATGCCTAGCAAATTACGGACCAGGCAATAAGTCCAGCAGCTATCTCAATCAATCGTCAGTTATGGAAAGATCGGGTTCCAAAGGCCGGATCCCTTGTGAATCAAGTCACGAAAAATTCAAGAATCGGCAGCATGCCATGGGCCTATCTCTTCAGTGCCGACACTTCTATTCTATTCTATAAGTCTTATTGAAATTATATCTGAGAATTCTAGTGGTTTAACCTTTTTCGTCCTAATTGCATCTCTTAACCCGAGGGTGCTGCCCGAGTCCCCAAGTTGGCTGTTGTCTAGAGGTAAAGCGACTGAGACCGTAGAACTGCTCTCCACCATCGCACGTCGGAATGGCAAGACCGTGCCCAAAGATTTAGAGGTAAGCCACGTAGTCCTACACAAATTACGCTTGTCTATGTGCCGTTGATGGGCTTGTTAACATAATGTAAAGTAGAACAGTAAATTGGCTTTACAAACTTTGATTTCCAAAAAATGGCAGAAATTTGAAAAAAAATAAAAATAAGTGAACACGTGGATGAATGATGAAAATTTTTGATAGTGGGAAAACGAGTCCTTATTTTAATGACACTTATTCCATGTATGATCCACTTTGGCATCATATGGAAAATATATATAGAAGCAGAAACGCGTTCTAACCAAAACTATTTGTTCGGATGCACGGCAGGACCAAGTAACTTTGCTGTGCGGGCAAGGCAAGCAACATCACGGCCCCTTGCAGCTTTTCTACACACCGTTAGTTCGAAAACGAACCCTTCTCCTCACCGCATGCTAGTTAGTAATTAGCGACGACGCGCCACGCATAGCTGATGCACAGCACTTGCCGTCGGTTTATATCTACGTTCAAACAGCTTTGAATTTTCACGTGGTATAATACATAGTTTCTTTTCGGCAGCCGCTGTTCGACTTTATGAAAGTTATCAGAAAAAGTTGAATTGTCATCACTAGCAATAAACATGAACATGATTTCCTGTTAAACGGCCGGACATTAAAAACTTGAGGAAAATCAGTGATCGCTGCAAAATGAATTACATAAGAATGCATATGCAAATGATACTATCCAACAATAGTAATGTGACTAAAATTATAACTTTCAGCACCTGTAACAACCTGTTCTACTATGGGCTTACATACAACATCGACAATATGAGTGGAAATCAATTCCTCAACTTCTTCTTATTCTCCATCACGGAGTTGCCGGCGAACTTCTTGGGCGGATGGATGGTTGAGGTCCTGGGGCGGCGTTGGAGTCAATCCTCTTGCTTCTTCCTGGCATCGGCTTGTGCCTTAGCTTCGTTGCCTTTCATTGGTAGGGTTGAACATTCACGGAAGCCTGACAGACTTTTCGGTATACCAAACTCGTCGTAGTCGTACTAGCTAAGATGCAGAACAATCATCTAGAAACTTCCACCTAAGTCGCACATAATACTGTATGAGAATGCAGTAAATACTCAAGGTTTGATTTCTCTATGGTCCGAAACTTAATGGTTACTAATTAATTTTAATCCCAATATGATATCTAAATATTGCAAGTCCTTATCTGAAGCCGAAACTGTACAATATTTCGATACAAACTCAATCCATTGTGGTTTCTAATAAGCTTGCAAAAATTATGAACTTTGAGAAATATAGGATACATGAGAGGAAGTAATTAAAAACTAATTATAAATCCTACTAGATTTCAAACTTTTCAGGTACGTCCACGTGGATTACAACCGTCATGCTGACCATAAGCAAGCTGTTCGTGACTATAAGTTTTCTGGTGATCTACATTCAGTGTGCCGAGATCTACCCAACTTCACATCGAAGCACGGGCACGGGCCTCTCCAGCCTAGTATCAAGCTGTTTCGGCACCACGGGTCCCTACATTGCTGTTACGGTAAGATTCTGTAATATGTTTAAGTCACTTTACTTTAAAAATTTCTCCCGATTACTGCAGTCGAGTCAAATTGTGCAGCCAGAATGGCCTGTCATAAAGGGTTTAAAACATGTAGGTATGCATTAATTAGCTTTTAAAATCGTGGGAACCTTGTTGCTCTGAGTTCGAAATTATCGTTGTTGGCACGTCAGGCATGTGTTGTGCCGAAATCGCGGAATTGCTGATTCTATGGAATCTGCAGCCAGTTGCCGAATATGTAGAATCAGCATTTCTATAATATAGGAATCTTGGTTTAGGTCAGTCAGCCAAGTTTTTTTTTATAATTGAAAATAAAGGAACTTTACCTAATTTTGTTTCCTCTAGAGTAAGATATGGGGAGGCCTCCCATACCTAATCCTTGCAACGATTGGAGTGGCGGGTGTATTGGTTTCCTCACTTCTACCGGAAACTCTCGGTCAAGACTTACCTCAGACGCTGGATGATGCTGAAAATTATCTTACCGACGAAGAATACTTCAGTTTTAAAGGGAAGGCGCCTTGTGGTATTCGTAAGCGGAAGAAGTCGTCTTTCCGGCCGAAACCGGCTGACCAATCAGCCAACGACACCGGAGTAACGGAGGCACTGAACTCACGCGGTCCAGTGACCAGCATGGACGACTATCATGTTAATTCTGATAAGCTACATTCTTCAACAATGGCTATTCTACCCGATGAAATGAACGACTTACCTTGAGTTAAAGCGAAGGAAAAAATTCGTTGAACGAGTCAGCGAAATGCCCTTTTAGGCACTGATATTGGTCGATATGAATCATTAGTTGGTGAGTTTAACGTGTTTGCTATACCATTTGAGCATCTAAAGGTGTGGAGGAAAAGCACTGGTATTTAGCGTAATTATTGGATAGAACCTACTGCTTTCAATTACATAGTGATATAGAGCGATAACTAAGTTTGCCCTCATTTCCCACAAAAAAAAACTCCTTCACGACATTCAAATTAGAACGTCTTGCGAGTTTATAACCTCCGCAATTGGCGAGTTTTTCAGCGGTGCGAACATCTTTGTAAATCGTCACATTGTTTACCAACGGAAGTTTCCAAATATTTGATCTGAAAAACACTAAAGTAACCTAAATTAACGCTAATTATTCAGACTGCAAAGTTGAACAGATTTTAATCCTTCAAACCGAAGAAATGCTAACTTGCCACTGCACAAATTACAATACAGTATCGTGACTACTAGTTTACAAAAACGCATTCGAATTTTCGCCTATACCTGATCATTAAATAAGTCTTGTGTAATTAGAGTTTAGAAGTGAATTATTTAACATAGCAAGCTATAAAACATTGAATAGTTATTGTAGCAAGCCAACCGAGTTCACAGAATGGATGGACACGATCTGGAGTTTTTAGTCAAGAAAGAGTATCACGAAATTATTGTCTGGTAGCACGTTTTTTCAGTCATGCCTCCACAACCAATGCGGTGATTAAAGTTAGACTCTCACATCCTCCAACTTGTACCGAGATCTTCTTGTAGAAATTTTGTTTTCGCCGAAGCTATAGTGAGAATCGGGTCAAATTGAAAAATCCGAAACTTCAGAAGTTTTTTTTTTTTAATTGTGTTAATGCGTGAGACTCGAACATAAAAAAAAAGACACGAAAATGAGCAATCAGGCACGAAGTAAAGAGTAAAGCTGATAGATCAAACTGAACCATTGAGCACAAAACTTCCTATTTATCACAGATTTCGAACAATGACAAAAAATGTTACAAAAATTGTAGTACTTAATACATCAAATACTCAATTTTTCGTTATCTGAAAATGGAGAAAAGTCCATATAACATCATTGGGAAAGTTGAGAAATTATTTTAAAATAATTTTGAAAAAATGCTAGACACCAGCGGGTTTCCAATTCCAAGTTATTTTCTTAAGCTGAGTGTCAGATATCATATAGGGAGAACATTTTCAAGGAAAATTAAGCTAATATTCCACGAAGAGACCATCAAGAGCAGCGGGCAATCACCTCGCATGAAGGCACGTTCACATAATCCAACTTGTCCAAGATATACAAGTAACAGTCTAGAGGAAGAAACTACTTCAATATTTACACTATGCACAGCCACCTCCACAGATAGCATTTGTATTATATAAGTCATAAGTGGATCAATATGATGCTCCTGATATTTGAACTCGCTTTAGAATTGCTAAAGAAAACCAATTCTGATAGTCAGGAACACCTTGTCATAAAGATACAGTTCGCCGACACGAAGAAACACATGTTCCGACATGCTGCAAGAAACATACATATGATTAAATGTACAATATCGAGAAGCTGCGTAGCTTCTTTTCGTCATTATTCTAAAACATAAAGACTCGCAATTGTAATGGTACCAGGTCACTATACAGATGAAGTTGTCATGCACACTTTTAAATAACTAATAACTGTAACAAGAAGTTAACAATTGGCCGCAGAGCTGATGCAATGTAAAAGGCGCGAAAATGAACTTGAAAGTTTCTTACGTACCTCACGAGCATCGGGCTGATACAGCCTTACTTAATCAGAACTCAATGCACAAAAATAATAAACATAATACCACCTTATATAAAGCCAGAGAGCTACTGGAATAAAGCCAAATGGTCTCAGGAGGAAAATGACACCACTCCGTCGGAATTGCAACATTGGACGATCTAATTGGAAATACTTGACTAAACTGACCAACAAAACGAATAATGTTGAAGTCTTTTAAAAAATAGCACAACTCGTAAGTATATTAATTCTAATGTTGTTAGCAAGAGCATTAATGATATCGTCAATGAGGATTGTGATGTTGGTGAGGAGGTTGCTGATGAGATGGCCGGCCTTTGCTAGGGTCGTCATCCTGTTTACTGGAATTGGTTGGAATAGGAGGCAGACCAGGGTCCAGGGGCAGGTGAGGAGCGGACTTGGGCACCAGGAGTACACTGCCGTCAGCTGACTGTTGCAGGTTATAGTCGTGTGGCGAATATGGCTGACCCTCGCTATCTCGCAGGTGCTGAGAAAAAAATTAGAGGTTTCATAAAGATATACCTACTAACAACATTTGAACAATTACTTAAAAAAATTGGAAATATCATCAACAGGCAGCAGAGCACAGAAGAGAATTAATCAGCTAAAAAGCAGGTGGTCCACAGATATCACTGAACTACACTGAAGTACCTGGAATATGTGTCTATAAAGAAGAGAGAATTTATGCTTGACTCGAAGTCTCTCCCCACTTAGAAACTCATACTGGGATATGAGTTCATTCTTGCGACTCTGTATCACTTTAACTTCCTCAGCTAAATGCATGATCTGATCCAATTTACGTTTACGGCAATTCTGAGCAGCCACCTGTGAAAAATGAACTGAATTATTGAACACCATCATGGGAGCATATAGGTATAAGTGAAAAATTACTATAGACTTTAAATCTATAAGAACATATTTAAAGCACATTCAATGAAAAGGTTAGCTCCCATTGGGAATATAAACTATAAAAATTTCACATATTACCACAAAAAGGCATTGATCTAAGTTTATTTTACCATTCTTATGTTACAATGTATATAATTATCTACCAGTCCTTAAAAATTGTATCTAATGAAATAAACCATTTTCTTTTCACTTATCTGAAAAAAATCTATTTAAAACTAAAAATGGGATGCACTGCATAGTTGAAATATTGCCAGGTAATTACATTCAACAAAATTTATAAAATATTAGTATACCTTATTCTTCCCTCTTCTTCTGATATCTCTGATGAGTGAGAGCTGATTCTCGGTGAGGTCATACTTAGAGATCCTTTCATTGAACTCATCCATTGGTAAGTGGATTATGTCATCACATGAGATGGGCAGGTTCAGAGCTCGAGCTCGTTTTTCATCACGGGTTAAGGCACGTTCGGGTTCAGGCTTACGGGCTGTGAAAGATATGACAACCATTAACTCTAATGTACAAAAATTCATTCATACATAACTTGCTAAAATGTAGAGAAAAGCTTCCATCAAGATTGTTAAAGATATATATATATACTAAATATAGATTTATAATCTTACAGAAGAATTTTACTAAGTGATCACCTAACAATTTAATTTATTTATTTTTCCTTAAAAAACATCAAGATCAAACAGAAAATAAATAGGAAATTTGTTTTATATATTCCATCAACTCAATTATAACTTCCCCCCTTATTAAATGGATAAAATTTAGGTCATTAACATTTTGCTAAGGCAGGCATCAAAAAGGACAACTAAGCAAATTGAGAATTTTATCACATGAAATTATAAAAACCTAATTCTGTACACTATCTGCTGTGAAAAAAAATTTTCAACAAGAGATGCTATACCTTTACTTTTATTAGGGTCTCTCTGTGATGGCCGAGGCAGTCCAGATGGCCCCTCAGGTGACATGTGGTATGTGTGGTTATGATGGATGTGCTCCAGTGAAGATGATACTTCTGAAAAAAAAAAGAGTTTATAATAAGGTTATTATCATAACCTTAAATTATTATTATGTCTATAAAATTTTTAGTGGCATATCAATATTTATAGAGGAAAAATATAATAATATGATACAATATCTTGATAACATTTACTTTTCAAAGTAAATATGGGAATAGTGTACTGCTCTCAGAACCCTTTGTTTTCACATTTCTGCAAAAACAACTGCTATGGATATATATGGCCTTGAATTGTTATAGACATTTCAGTTATGCGCATGTAATCAGGTAAAAATAATAGGTAATAGTGAATCAGCTAAAAAACTACAATACTAGGCAGCCAAATAACATATAGATTTATAGTTTGTAATATAAATTGACCGCTTAAAAATGTCTTTTGGTGGCTGCACAATGCCACAATCATAATTTGATCCAACAAATAACTGCTTGCAAAATAAGTCATTTTATAAAATTCTGAAGTTCTATGGTTTAGTACCACTCCTGCACAGTGATGGGTAACCAACTAGCATGTTGCATTAATAATCTCATAGCTGTGGTTATTCAAGACTACTTTATAACTTGGTTGTTTCCTCAATGAAAACATTAACCCTTCTGTCATGGATACATTTACTGTCTTCAATGCTATTCATACCTAGTGGTTTAGGACCAAGAAGTCCCATCAGCCACAAACGGGTTAAAATGGTTCATAGCCTATAAAATTATGAAAGAAGTTCAGTGGCTATTTCTAGGGACTAGGGTTAAGCAAGAGATTTGGCAAATATAAGCACAAAGCTTGGCAAATGTTCAAAATGGATTTTCTTTGCTTGAAAAATAGGCTCCCATGGCTCTAAAATTGATAAATTCACAGCTCCTAAAATTCAGTTGCAGCTCAGAAAGTAAACATTTTTTTACTAGACTTGTTATGGAGCACCATGAGTGCAAATTCAGTTAAAATGCAACTTTGAATTACAAAAGTCTAAACCAAACTAACATATTCTAACATTTTAAATTCAAATATTCTATAAAAATTAGTCTATAAAAATTACAGGTAACACTAAAGTCACTAACAGTACCATAACACAGCTACACAGGCATGAAGATTATCTATAGTTTGTATTTTCTACACCTTGACAAGAGGTCAAGAGCATTTCTGCCATTTTTGGGGCTTTAAAATTCCCACCACACAAAAAATAAGCAATCTATTTTGTAAACTTAACCAAGCAGCTGCTTTGTTACCTGTACAACATAGACACAAACAAACCCTAAAATATTACTAACAGTCTAACAGCAAGTAAAATTCAAAAGAAACTAAAAAGCCAACCACTCAAACTACATAGGTAGAAGCACGAAAATTTTCTCTCGCAGCAGCAGCAAAAACCAAGTTTGCCAAGAGCATTCCTGGCAAGGAAAATCTCACCAGATAGAGCTGGAATAAGTTTGCTATAAATCGCAAGAAAGCTGAACTGTTTTCTCAAGGTGCCAGCACCCTTGGCTCCGGAAGGCTCTGTATTATCTGATCCACCCATTTTTAATTGAAATTAATGGCAGCTAGACTTTTGAAATGATTTAGGGTGAAATAACAACACTAATGTACATCGATACACGGAAAATAGAGAGAGCTCAACCCTATACGACCACTTTCATCTTGCAAACTGGTTTGTTGATAACGGCACAGCTGACAACAGACTTACCAACTGCACGCCAATGAATTTTCTTACCGTAAATTATTAGTTTTCTGAATCTGTTCATAAATAAACAGTTTTTCTACCAACATTTATTTCATGCAAAAATGTATGAAGAAACGGTATAAGCAAGGAGAAAGCGTGAAAAAATTGTACAAAATGCAGTTGGCAGTAGTCGACATCGTACATATTGTAATGACGTTTCTATTATCTATAAGTCACGACGGTCCAATAGATAAGATAATCCAAATTTATCGTGATAGAGGAAGACGAAATCGTAAATAAACTGTTTGACTAGCACGGATCTCAGCAATAAAGATATAAATTCATCATGAACGCAGCCAAATACTGTGTATGAGAAATGCAGGTCAGATATTTTCTTTGAAATTTATGGGAGTGACTGATGTAAACCGTTCTGATGCCAAATGCAGGTTGTCCAATTTTTTCGACAGTACTTGGATTGATCATCATGATTTGACTTAAAAATTTTCCAACAAGATTTCAGCCTTGGAAAAAAATAAACGTTTATTAACAACAAGAACGTTTGAACCCATGGGCCTATTTCTTCAGAGCCGACACTTCTATTCTAAAATAAGCTGATACCAAAAATTGCTCTCAAGTTCGCTAATTGAGATCGAAGTTCTGTGGACCTCTCGAACCATTCTCTGGCCGGTCTCCAAGATTCAGTGAGTATGAAATATCTCCCTAGCTAATTAACTCAGCTCGATGAAACCTTGTACGGAGAATTGTGGGCCAGGTGTTCTGCGAGCAAAATTAGGATATTTCCCCAATATAATTACCGAATGAAAAGTGCTCACGTCCAAAATACTTGGAAATTTCTGCTATCTATCGTCAGTCTTGAAAATATCCGGCCAAATGACAAGATTTTAGATCTCTATGAACAAGTCACGAAGAGTTCAAGATTCGGCGACAGGCCACATCAGGTCTACTCTTTAGCGTCGGCATCACTATGTTATGTTATGTGATATTCTTTCTACGTTTGAAGTTTGGGTCATGTAAAGAGTACGTAAGTCAAACGAAACGTATTAAATTCTTGATGCAAACTAAACAAATTTCAAAGAACATTTTATGACATCAATAAGTTAAATGACGACATAATAGCTCCGGAAATAGAGTGAAGCTCAAATGACATAGAAGCAAACATGGTTGATTATAAGGTTGACCCACGAGGACATCCGTCTTTCAGTTCAGCTTTTGTTATGTCACTGAGATTGAAAACGTAAACAATCCAGTCATTCCCATGACGGATTTTATAGACTGGTTTGATCGCATATCGGTAATCGGTTAATGCCCGTGAAGTCACTGAGATCAGTGCCGTCACAGACGAACAACAAGCTACATCCGCAAAAATGAGCCTCTCATGGGTCAACCTTATACTAGTTCAACCGTGGCAGCAAAGCTAAAGATATTTGATTATTTGAGCTTATAATAGCTCACGATTAACTCTAATAGGCCAAAATGAAAAAAGTGTGGCAGAAATTGGTCAGAAGGGTCTAAGTCTAAAACAGGTTTTCCCAAACATAATGTGATCAAGTACCACAGAGGGGTGCCTAGTCCCCACGTACCCCAGGTACCTGCCGCGTACCATGGACACAAATTATTAGCCCCTAATAATTAACATTTGTAGTACTTTATTCTATTCAATGTGCTACTGTCTGAATAAAACAGTAGGCCGCTAGGACCAGGTGAGGGGCGTGTGACAACAGTAGCACATTGCTGCCAGATAATTTTGTGTTTGACAGTGAATATTTTCGTGCGGTAAACAACGCGAAGGCCTTCTTGAGGCTTTCTAGTCTCTTGCGTCCCACTAGTGTTACGGGTACCACAGTTCAGGGCCCTTGCTCAAGAATTTGGGGAACCCTGCTATAATCCTACGGCACCAACCAAAAATAATAATCAGAACAAAAATAAAAATATAAGCTAACAAGCTCGATGTTTATTTGCAGTAGACCTCAAATGTCATAAATTGTATTATTCCTATAACTACTGACACTACAAATTTTTAAACTTGACCTCCATTCACGAAAAATTAAAGTCCGATTAAAAAACTGAAACAGCCTTTTAGAAAATGAAGTTGTAGAGTGGATGATATTTCATACACTCATGCAAAGAAAGTATAAAGATTTTCTTACTCACCATGGTGTCCCCTGAAGTCCATGGAGCAGGAATACTTGAGCTCCATGGGGTCAGGGATGTGTGAGGAGGGGGCGGGGGTTGTATCCATGGCGCTGGGGGGTTGTTGGTAGGGGGTGGGGTAATGACTGTTGTTGCCCACAAGGCTGCTGCGGTTGCTGCCTGCACCCATCAAACAAATATACGTATACCGATGCACGTAAAAGAATGTCTTAAGAGCACATGTGAATTGTTAAAATTACATCCAATGACAAGTTTCAAAAATATTGCACGCAGTATTAACGAAATGCACAGTAGAAAGCCAAAAGAGTAAGGTTCTAACTGGATATTATGCATATGCCATCAACAAGCTGGGCGTTAATACAATAAATTCATCCATTCAGCGTCTCACTGGGGCGCTCGATAACAGTGATGATCTCGGCTCTGTAAGAGAGCAAAATGATCGAAGTTATGAGCTCTGCAACACGATAAAAGTTATCTAGATGTCACTTTACTGAAAAAAAAACGTTTCAAGACTTATTATTTTCATCAGTTCACTAGAGCAGCCATATAAATACGATCCCAGCAACAATAAACAGCTCAATAGATGGAAACATTGCAGCATCAGCACTGCACTTCATGACAGACAAGAAATCATAGAAATGCAGGGTAATGAGCAAAAGAAACGAAAATTGGATAGCAACAAGGACAAAGAATGGAAAAGTAAGAAACAGAGGATATGCGTTGAGCAACAGAAACGAATAAATGATGACTGAAGCGAATGAGAGAATAAGTGAAAACGAAAGCATAGGCGAAGAACAACATAAACGTAAGTATGGCGAAAAACAATATAACCTTAGAAAGAGTCTGCCAAGGAAAACACGGACGAGAAAATCTGACGAATAACATAAAATAATGAGAGGATACGTGAAGAAAGACAATGAAGAAGAACGGATAAATAAGAAGCAATAGGAAAATAAAAATAAAAGAAAGTCAAGCAGCAAAAGGAACCAAGTTCGAACTTGTGAACAGCAAGAGAGAAGAAGGGACTTAAAATAAAGGTGACAGGCAGTAGCGAAGCGCATGAAATTAAAAAAAAAAAAACATATAATTTTATCAGACGGGCAAAGACACGCGTTCGAGAGCCTCTTGATAACAACAATGAATTATAACGTTTTAACAAGTAACATTGAATTGTGGGAAATAGTTAGGAAGAATCTATCTTTAAAGCGTGCTTTAATGGCGTCAAACGGAACCTACCAAAATAATCGATATGTTTAAGCCGAAAATATGTACTTAGAATGTTATAGAACTAATGTATCGATGTGTACATGGATACAGAAAAAAGATGTTTGACATTAACATTACGCTAATGCGAGTAGCGCAGGTGCAGACATCTTGAAGAGGCGGCAAACGCACAATAAGAAATAGCTATGGGGAAAATTGCCCATATATATTGTTATATATAATGGGTAATACTGTCCAAATAGTTTATTTCCCTTCCTCATCTACAGCATGAACAGTTAGCGGACGTTGCACGGATACGCTCTTATGTTATGCCAAATTGAGTCAAAGTCACATACTAAAGTGCAAGAAGTGCATTGCGTTTTGGACAAAGTCTCACTCATTTCTCCGAGTGCACCGAGTCCAGAATAAGAAGAAGGTGAGCAAGAAAAATTGACCAGAAGTTTATTATGTTCAATACTCTTAGCATAAACTAGTGAATAACACTAGTACAGCATGCAGGGGCCGAATCTTAATACTTATTTACAGTGGAATAATTAAATATAATCCAGAAAAATGTCAATAACCCAAAAGCATGTATAATGTAACCGAGATCTCAGTAGTGATAGTAAGTGTCAACTGGGAGGGATGTTGGGGGTAGCGGGCACTATAGGGTTGCCATCTGGGCCTTTTTCTAGCCAACTTTGACGATTAGGGCCTTTTTCAGTTATGTTGTTTATTGCAAATCACAGGTTTTAAATTTAATGTACTTTTACATTAATGAATAATGTTTAAAAATTAATCGTTGAATCGCATATTATAAATTTACTTATATTGCATTATGGTTGGTTTTGGCCTTTTTTTGCGAGCGGACTTGGCCGTTTTCTCTGGCAACCCAGGCGAGAACTATGACCGCCTTGTTATAAAAAAGTGCAAAGTGGATCGCTATTTGGACAAAAAAAGTGCAAAGTGCATCGCTATTTGGACAAAAAAGTGCAAAGTGGATCGCTATTTGGATACAAAAAGTGCAAAGTGCATTGCTATTTGGACACAAAAAGTGCAAATTGCAACGCTATTTGGGCGAAAAATTGCACCGCGGTTTATAGATTCTCGGTAGTCATTCTTCCTCGAGTAGCATGATCGCGCCATCGTCCAGCATGACGGCTGTACATGCTCACTCGCTGATAACGCGATTCATATCGGCATTTAGATTGCATAGTGAAGATAAACACACATATTGTACTTTTACTCACGCAGATAAAAGATGATCAATCATCGTTTCTTAGAAGCGATAAAACGTTCACTCAATTTGATAAACAAAATAAGGCAAGCGAAAGAGGTGAAAGAAGCATGACATGGTAAAAATTATGAGCTGGCAGTGCTAACAAACGTGCAGAGAAACCACCTACACCGAGCTACGAATTCGGTCATATACGAGACACGAAATGCAGTGCATACAGAATGCTGAAATGAATATCAGTCACCCACACAAATTATTACAATGAGAGGAAAGCGACAATAGAGAAAAACAGCTTCGTATATTCAGAGAAAATATACCTATATTCTTAATCCATAGCAAACAATCACTAGATAGAAGTTATAACCGGGAACACTCATTGAACAACGAAAAACATAGAAAACGAAACAACACCCAGACGAAAAAATATAACTCAGTAGGTACTCACTGCTGCAGTGACAGAGAGCGCATTTTCTCGTCGACGAAAACGTGGTCACAGACAGACAGACAGACGGACGGACATAACGAGCACAATAGTGCATTATTTCCATACATGAGAAAATGCGCTAAAAAGGACTACGCACAATCAACATACAAGCTAATTACTATGATGCATTATAACGCTGGCAGTCTCACCGTGATGCGGAGGCACCTCAGGCGGGCCGTCCTGGAAGTAGCGCTTGCCGAACATGTGATGTTTCTTCTGCGCCACGGGGGCGGCGAGCCGCTGCTGGTCGTCGGGACTGAGACTCCAGCCCCTGTACGCTGCGTTGTTAGCATAGTCCCCCCCTGAGGACCCAAGGAGTCCGTGGGGGGACAGCACCCCGCTGCCACCACTAGTGCTTGCGGGGTGACCACTTACACGTGGGTCTGATCAACACAGTTACCTTCTCTCAGACTCTTACTCTTGCGACTTTAAGTGACGTCAAGCGACCTCAACAACACAGATATTAATCTCAAAAGGCTCTAAATGACCTCAGCAGCACAGATATTAATCTCAATAGGCTATAAGTGGCCTCAGCAGCACAGATATTAATCTCAATAGGCTATAAGTGGCCTCAGCAGCACAGATATTAATCTCAACAAGGCTCTAAATGACCTCAGCAGACAGCAGCACAGATATTAATCTCAACAAGGCTCTAAATGACCTCAGCAGCACAGATATTAATCTCAACAAGGCTCTAAATGGCCTCAGCAGCATTGCTATTGACCTCAGCAGCTCTGATATTGACCTCAGGAGGCTTTAAATAACATCAGCATCACTGACATTGACCACAGGAGGCTTCAAGTGACCTAAGCAGCAAGAATATTGACCTCAATCCTACTTTGAACTACGCCTAAATGCTAGTGATCATATTCTTGAACTCGTTTGACTAAAAAATGGCGAGACCAAAATAGCTTCATCTCTTCACGCAAAAAAATTAGAGCAATTTTTTTGCCAGACTTAGGTTTTGGACATTTTTGAGAGCTTGAGGACGATGCAATAAAAAAGCATACAACTCGACGAATTTAAATTGAATAATTTCAGCGAATCCGAATCTTATTCGTCAGGAGCGACAAAAGGAATTATCCAACAAGACGATAAGCAACCCCAATGAGCTGTTTTGATCACAAATATTCGAACATTTCCAAGCAAAAAGTTTAAATTGAAAATTAGTAAATAAAAACACTGACCAATATTTACCAACGTCAAGTATGGTAACTGTTCTGTTTTGTAGTACAAGTTTTGGTGTAGTATTAAATATTTACAGATGTAAAATATAGGTTTTTAGTATTTATGTGTCCAACACATTGACCTCATTAGGGCCCCAAACTACGGTACTGTTTTAAAACAAACAATAGGATGACGTGTCAAATGAGGTCATAAGGTTTTATTTATCATTGAAACCTAAGCTAGCATAGTCCAGGTTTTAAATAAGTATTTTATTAGTTAAAAGGTTCCCTTCTGGGTACAAGTAGCCACCAAGCATAATATATAGCATAGGCGCAAATTTAACGTTCTTTAATGAATAATTAAATACTGAGCAGGGGCCGGATTATCAAAACTTCGTAACTTTTTGTACCTACGACAAAAAAATTCTGTGGTACGTAAATACACCCTAATATTGGCATTATCAAAACTTTCGTACGCAATTTTTAGCTAAAAGCCTAAAATTTTTTCCCGCGCAAATGCTTTTATAATAACACCGCTAGTATTACGTTGTCATAGCAACGCCACTCGTAAGTCGATTTTGCGTACTTGCGAAGTTTTGATAATACGGCCCCAGGTCTTTACTTCCCTCATAAGACATGAACGCAGTGCATTGAGGCAGTGAAGCTAATGTTGGTACTCACAATCAGACGCTATAGCCATGTCCATTAGATGCAGGTCGTCTTCTCCAAGGATGGAGGACAAGAATCCATCACCGTGCTGTGCTCCTGTTGATGGATGCGGGTGGCCACCGCCTGTACTTGCTAGTTCAGAACTACCCCCGCCGCCGCCGCCGCTCGACTGTGAACAAATAAAACGTGTTCCCAAGCGCTCTTAACATTCAACGAATGCAGTTATGTTCAACATTCTCACTGACGCATCATGCCCAGGCTAGGGCCCCTGCAGCTCTCATCGACTGATAAGAAACATCATCTTAGATAACAACTCTTGAGGAAAGTTATGGCGGCAGGAATTGACGACACGTTGGCATGTGAATTGGACGTGTAAAAAAGTTACCGAAACGATCTCCAAGATAGCCTCAATCCATACTACTTGATATCATAATAATAAAAATTTAAAATCAGCTAATCTGCAGAAATAAAATCATCCAATGGAAGCAGTAAAATCTATCGTCGGTAATTCACGATGCCCCACCGATTAGATATGATCTGCCAGCCACGTTGCTGACGATAATAAAAGCTGAAGTGCCTTTCTTTCAACTTCGAATAACACAACAAGCATTAAATAAAGAACATATAAGGTAACTGCTACGGTACTGATTGACTGATTATGAAAAATTCGGATAGTGCAATCACAGATAAAGTATTTCCTGATTTGGTACTTCGAGAATACGAAAGTCATCTTCTGTTTTCTGAGTTTGTAACGTCTGAAGACTAGCGATGCTTAGCGAAGGGTCAGAAATGCATCTAAAAATTACGATGTTAGTACAGGGTGGCAAAATTTTTTCTTTTAGATATGTTTGATTGAAGACTTGAAAATACCCCTCTATGGTCTTCAATCAAACCAGCTTTAAAAATTGTCTATGGTCTTCAATCAAACCTGCTTTAAAAATTGTCTACGGTCTTCAATCAAACCTGCTTTAAATATTGTCTATGGTCTTCAATCAAATCAGCTTTAAATATTGTCTATGGTCTTCAATCAAACCTGCTTTAATAATTGAATTAATAATTTAAAATAAAAATTTTAGCACACCTGATAGTAGAGCATGTCGTGGGGGAGAGCGGGTGGAGCGGGAGGTGCTGGTATGAGGGAGGATGATGGCGATGATGTCTCCATTTTGTACTGGTGATGCTGATGATGGTGTGGGTGATGATGGTGGTGATGATGGTCACCCAGGTGCTCCGGGGTCTGGGTGTTGCTGCCGCTGGCACCCAGGTGACTTGTGGCGCCTGTGCATAATCACGTATCACTACAGCACTTCATCAATATTGAATAATATTGAATACTATTGAATAATATTGAATACTATTGAATAATATTGAATACTATTGAATAATATTGAATAATAATGAATACTATTCACCTTTAACACAATCTTAATAGACTTACTGGCGATATTTAAACTTAAACAAAACTTTCTTATTTGTAGTAGCCTTACTTGATAGATTAATAGACTCTATGAAGAAAAATAGGTGCCAAGAACACTATTATTAGTGTTCACAGAGTGTGAACACTTATTAGTGTTATTCTCCTTAGACTCAAAGTAAACTATCTTAGTTGTACTAGTTCTATTTGGTAGCTTAATAGACTACGAGGGAAACTAGGTACGAAGCACACTATTCTTAGTAACATGACACAATAAATAGTGCCTCTATAGGTAACACTGCCCCTGTATTGAGCTGTGATAGTTGTAACAGCACAGACATTCTTTTAATTGCAAGCCGAAATTGCTGGATATCAGAAAGTCTACGGGGCTCTGTCTCAACATTTAGTTATCAACGTATATGAAAATTTAATAGTACTGCGATTTTATTTATTCTAAACTAATAGTATCTATGCTAGACAACACAAGCCTATTATATCATGCAGTAGATGCGCTTACATTTCACGTTCAGAACTGATAAGATAGTGCTATAATATAATCATTTAAGCACTTCACTTCGAACTAACAACTAAGCATAGAAGGTCTACAAACTCACAGTGGATTATTGTACACTGGGATATCTCATTATCTCAAGTAGCTTATTACCATATACTAGTATCAAATGCCATATCAAATAGCTTTCATATGCATTTAGTTCAATCTAAGGCACAGCCGACATTAACTTCTAAAGAATGCGTACGCCTTAACGAGCACGAAATTAAATGTTCGAGCTATTAAGAGTGAGGAGCTTTTTCTCCAAAGTTTGCCTGTAAATTTTGACACGAATTCTACATCTCATGAGAGAAATTTGAATCACTCGATACCGAAAATTCAGGCCGAAAAATATATAATGAATACGTGCTAGCTTGGTAACCAGCTTATCATTGCTTCATTGCTTATCGATGCTGATATATCGGTCTGATGCAGATCTATGAATTGACATGCATGTCGAAAAAGAGAGTATGCAGACATGCTTAGTAACAGCATATAGGGCGATATTAATCATGCATAGTAACAGCATATAGGGCGATATTAATCATGCATAGTAACAGCATATAGGGCGATATTAATCATGCATAGTAACAGCATATAGAGCTATATTAATCATGCATAGTAACAGCATATAGTTATTTTAATCAAGCACCAAGGAGTTATCTCCTCACCCATGGAGTTGGCGTAGGTGATGTCGTGGGTGTTGGGGTCGGGGGGCAAGGCAGCGTTGTGCAGTAGCCCCCCCCTGGCCAGACTGCCGCCCCCCACCACATCATGTGCAGGGTAGAGGGCGTGGGGGTGGTGGATGGTGGGAGGCTGCTGTTGGTGGGGTGGTGGTGGTGGAGGTGGTGGTGGACCAGAGTGATGAGACGGTGTCATGAGTGGAGCTGGCTGGTGAAGAAGATGGTTGGGAGGAGGAGGATGGTGGTGATGGTGATGATGGTGGTGATGGGTGGTCATGGCGGTAGATGTGGGGGGACCAACAGGGGGAGGATGGTGCAGGGTAGGGGATGTGGCCCCCTCCCCTGAGGACGGGAGGCTCAGCAGCGACGCGAGGTCCTGCCAGCGCTGGTCCATGGAGCCGCCGCGCAGCATCCCGCCCATACGGCCCTGGCGAATATAAATACAAAATAAATTATGAGGATAATTTCAAACTCAGCATAAACTCAATCAATGATTAAAACTCAGGATAAACTAGGCTCAATAGATGATTAAACTGAGGATAAGCGGCCCTGGCAAATATAAATTCAATATAAATTAGAAGGATAATTTCAAACTCAGGTTGAACTCAACCAATGATTAAAACTGAGGATAAACTAGTTTCGATTAATGACATAAACTGAGAATAAACTAGACTCAATCAATGATTTAAACTGAGGATAAAGTAGGCTCAATTAATGATTAAAACTGAGGATAAACTAGGCTCAATTAATGATTAAAACTGAGGATAAGCTAGGCTCAATCAATGATTAAAACTGAGGATAAACTAGGCTCAATCAATGATTAAGACTCAGGACAAACTAGGCACAATCAATGATTAAAACTGAGGATAAACTAGGCTCAATTGATGATTAAAACTCAATATAAAATAGACTAAATCAATGATTACAACTGAGGATAAACTAGGCTCAATCCATGATTAAAACTGAGGATAAAAAATATTCAATCAATGATTAAAACTCAATATAAATAGACTCAATCAATGATTAAAACTAATGATTAAAACTCAATATAAAATAGACTCAATCAATGATTAAAGCTGAGGATAAACTAAGCTCGGTCAATGATTAACACTCAGGATAAACTATGCACAATCAATGATTAAAACTGAGGATAAACTAGACTTAATTAATGATTAAAACTGAAGATAAACTAGACTCAAACAATGATTAAAACTGGGGATAAACTAGGCACAATCAATGATTAAAACTGAGGATAAATAGACTCAAACAATGATTAAAACTGTGGATAAACTAGGCTCAATCAATGATTAAAACTGAGGATAAATTAGGCTCAATCAATGATTAAAACTGGGGATAAACTAGGCTCAATGAATGATTAAAACTGGGGATAAACTAGGCTCAATCAATGATTTAAACTGGGGATAAACAAAGCTCAATCAATGATTTAAACTGAGGAAAAACAAGACTCAATCAATGATTACCACTAAGGATAAACTAGCCTCAATCAATGATTAAAACTGAGTATAAACTAGACTCAATCAATGCGTTCCAGTAGCCCTAAGTTGCAGCACAACGAACGTGGTTCAGAGGCAGTCGCTTGGTGACCTGGAACTGTTAATGACATCACTCCGACCGCAATAAACTATGTACTACAATACCGCATAGCGTACCAGCCAGACGTAGCACTTTTTGCCGACCCAAACTGAGCTCAGATGACACACACAGGGGCAAAAAAAGCCTCGCTATCAACGCAATGTCTCACTCATTTGCTTGTGACTAACATAGTCGTAACGTTCGTATGAAGCTCGAGATCGACATGACTACATGACTACCCCGAAACTATCTCGAATAATCTATAAGAGTGAAGCATTTGGCGAGAATGATGCCGATAAGCTGGAATACTGCGAGATCCGAGTTGACGAAAACTACATAAGGTCGAGCAAAGTGGCTAAAATCAGAAAATTGATTTGATCATTTCGTCAAAATAGCAATTCACTCCTTACCCACAACAAGTGCAGAGATCTGATCGGACATATCACCGATACGTCCTTTAGCTGGGTCAGGATGACCCACACGCTGTCATAAAGTGCATTGATAATTGAACAACTCGCTCTAATTTCTCTGAGTGTATATGTGGCACTCTCATGGCTCGATCAGATAAAGCGTGAGGCGCGAGAAAGCGACAGCAGCAACTGGCCCCGCTGGTCTTAGCGCCATAGCAAGCGCAACAAAAACGCGCAACCAGGGCCAAGAAAAAAACTTGGGCAGGCTCAGTCGGCACGTGTAATTTGCACTGCTTGCAAAACAAAATAAATTTGCAATGCATTGGCAAAGCCAGACATTAGACTCGGAGGAAAATTATCGTCAAAATTCAATAGAGGCTTAAGTTGTGTCCGGAAACATGGCACACGGTAACAGCAGTCGAAACTAGTGCCACACTGTACAACGTAGCAGCAATAGATGGGATGATTGATAGCAATGACACATAAGAATATACTGCTGTCGTGAAAATAGACGCACGACAGGAATACGGTACAAGACAACGACAGTTACACGATAGGAATACGGTACAAGACAACGACTAACACATGACAGTAATACGGTACAAGACAACGACTGACACATGACAGTAATACGGTACAAGACAACTATAGTCATACGACTGGAATACGGTGCAAGACAACGACTGACACATGACAGGATACGGTACACGACGACAGTAATACGGTACAAGACAACTACAGTCACACGACTGGAATATCTAGGCGAGGGTGTCAACGTACGTCGGGAATCCGTAGCGCCAGGGAATGAATGAGCGTTGAAGCACGCGGCAAGCAAGCGTGACGCCTCACGAAGCCAGAAGCATGCTTGCTCCGTGTGAGTACACGTTATGGCTCCTAGATGACTCGTGTAATGGCCCTATGAATTCAGTCACACGAGGAGGCTTATAACGCCAACGCGCGATCACGAGCAGCTAGGTGAAAGAGGCCGTGCTCAAGCATGAACGCAATGCATGCTCCAAGCGTTCCCAATAACCCTACGAATTTTCGGGCGGCTTTTCCGACAAGGGATTCCTATGATTCCAGCCTTCAGGCTGGCTGCGGATTGCAGAATATATTCGTGGCCAACAAGTACGTTCCAATACAATTTTGTATGCAGATTTAAAAAGCAGCGTTATGAATCAAAAATTGTTCAATATTAAAGAAAACAAAACAGTGGTTTGTCGTCGCTTCGCATAATCGGGTCATTACAATCTAAGTTAATGACATTTGGGACATTGCTTCGGCTGTAACTGAATGATGCATAACACCAAGGCGTTTAAAAGCCTAGTGGATTCGAATATCTGGAATTACACAGTTAGTAAATACGACATCGTCGAATGAAAGTCCAAATACTCTATAATTTTATAAATACATAATAACTGTATTAGGCAAGCGAGAGGATCGTTTCCAAAACTGACTGTCAGTCATTTGTGACAGGGAAATGTTGATGACAGACATCTCGCTGTGGGTCGCTCATGAAATTGCAGGTCTGAGTACGCAGAACATTCAACACTTGACTATATGACGAGCGTAACGACTTAGATTATACGCTTATAAGACGGCACTTCAGGATAACGAGGTAGAACAAATGTTACAGCAACTATATATCAACTACTTAATAGGATGAAAATTATACAAATACTATAATACAACACGTGACTATCTGAACACGTGTCAACATAGGACACTACTACTAATACTATAGGAGTTCCTTTATTAAAGCTACAACCAACTGAATTACGACAGAATGAATTTCTCACATTTGCAATTCGGTAGACAATATAGTATAAATTATCCCCAAATCCAAACGATTACGTTCATGAAATATATAGCTTCGCAGTCAGCATAATGAATTTGTTGAGACCAGCCTCAATTGGGGAAGGCGCTAGCACATCCGTAAATCTCAACAAGGAAGTAAAGAGATTCCCGACGGCGTTCACAAAGCATGAACATTATAACGTTTCCTGTGTGCTTGCTAGCGCCTGCAGTGATGACACGGTGCGAGCAGGATGCAGTATATTTAAACTCTCTTGGAACTGCACGCACAGCTGCTACAATTATTTAGTACACGCGAAGTTAAACTTCCATCAACTGAATAAAAAACACGAGAAATTAAAGTTGGATTAAATAAAAAATGTGCAAGTATTCTGTATCGAGACTCCGCACCTTAATGAGACAATTTGCTGGGCAATCACTTGGTTCTAATCGGTGTGCAATTGTTCATTGAAGCCTGCTATAATTAGTAAGCCACTATTTGTCTTATTCATTAGCTTTAAAATTTAACTCAAGTAACAATATGCGGTGATGAAACCGGTTTCAGGTCACTTGCATACAAAAGTGCATTGAATGATCAACTCTGTACCAACAAACCTTTCCGCTTCTGAAGCTGGTACTGATAGCTGCGAATAGGAAAATACACGAGAACAAACTCATGCAAATGAGTTGGTTATGTGGTCAAAATAGTGACACACGTTCTTATCCACAATACGAGCACAGAGCGGACTTAGCACTGATTCGCTCTTCTCCTAGGACGACCTATATAGGTTATCATGACACCCACAGGGGCAAAATGGATATCCATATTTAGACAAAGTCTCACTCATTTCTCTGAGTGGCATATTGCTTTCACGAGATCAGCGAAAGCATGTTTCCGCAGCCAGCAGCAGCAGCAGCAGCAGCTGTATGGGAACTTGCCACACCATGCAAACCTGTTCACTAGAATTCTGCCCTCGAGCGTTGTGCTTCTGTTGGCTCGTGGTCAGCTTTCGTCACGTCTCTGATGGTGATGACACTGCGACGTGATGTGGTAAAGTAAATAATAATCGTATGTAACTATTACCTCGCCACAACGTATCACGGACCGGTTTTAGTAAATGATCACTGGAATTACCGATTTCTATTGGCCACTCCATGGCTTGCTTGCACCGAGATTACAAGCCGCCATTAACAGCTCTATTAAGGAACTGATGCGCGGGACCTTAATGTTTACATAAAAGAGCTAGGTTAAAGAAAGTCTTTACATTACAGATATTTAAATGCTTGGTACGTATAAGCTGAATAGCACGCGGATAACCACATGGCTCGTTCGATGCAACCAAGAGCTGAATCGTCCTTGTGCGCAACAAACAATGTTTTACAATTTAAAGAGCCTAAATTAACGATTAACAATTAGGCCTTGATAACTCACGATTAAGGCTTTAGTACTTTCTCATCAAGTCTTACAAATTCAAATGATAGCTTTTTGACATTTTTATCAGCTACATCTCAATGATATTTGACCTGTAATGTTTTATTTTAATTTTATTTTATTTGAGACGACTGTGTTTTTGCTTGCGAATCGTAAGCGGTCAGTCCGAGGATATAGGCTGGGAGACGAGGATACAGA